GTTGTCCCTTTTGGAATGATTATTTCGATGTATGCGTATCGCGTCAAATTATTGGATAAGTCATATATTTGTTTTGAAAGCATTTTCTTATTGGTTAAACCGAAAACCGAACCGTTAAAGACTTAAAATCGATAAACCGAAAACCGATAACAAATATCTTATTGGTTTGGTTATCGGTTTAGCATATTTAAAAACCGAAAACCGATAAACCGAACCGATAATACTTATAACCGAACCGAACCGACCGATACACACCCCTAATTGTGGCAGTGAGAATGATCCAATAATAGTACCACTCCTTCTGTTTTAATTTAATTTATTTGGTATCGTTAAATCAATAGAATTTTTTTTAAAAAAACTTTATTATATTTACTAAATTGTTTTTATTAAAGTCATTTTGGTGCTTATTTTTTATTGATTTTTTTTTTCATAATAAAATTTTAAGTGGGATCAATAAGGGTAAAATTGAATTGGCACCATTATATAATTGTCAAATAAAAATATGTAACTTTCTTTCTAATGAATAATAAAATAACACATAAATTAGGACACATGAAATTATTATATTTTCTTCCGACAACATTATTGTAAATTGTGCGTTCTCTATTATTGTAGGATATCCACGAGGTTTTCACACGAAAAGAGGTTCACTTCAGTAACCACCAAAACTTAGATGTGATTGATTATAGACCACACTAATTGGAACCATGTGATTGATAAATACGGCCATTAGCTAATTTGAACCTTTCACAATCATGAAGTGCACCACTAAAAACTGAGGGGAAAAAAAAAGAAATATTGAGTGAGAATTGATCCATGTTTCTTTAGGTAAGTAAATCAGATAAATTAGAATAATTCTAGAAAATATGTACACAATAATCGAAAGTGGATCCAGATTCCAGAATTTGAAGGTTAAGAGTGTTACATTGCTTTAAACATAGATGTATTGCTATTTACAATATCCAAATATGGTAAATATTTGATCGATTTGATCAACTTTGACTTCGATTCAGATATTCGTCTTTTCGATTTATATAAATAAATAGATCGAAAAAAAATGAAATAATTATGATAATTTGGCACAAAGACAAAATGATTCAATGATGACATAACAATTTGTCATCATATATACCTCACAATTTATATAACAAAATAAATATAAAGATGTTGAATTATTTCACATACATAGTTTCATTTAGGGGTGTACATGGTTGGGTTGGTTCGGGTTTTTTAAATATCAAACTAAATCATTTGTGTCAGATTTTTAAATTTATAAACCAAATCAAACCAATAAAACTCGGGTTTTTCAACCTCGGATTTTTTTTGGGTTTTTCGGATTTTCCGGTAAAGTATTCATACAAACATATAATTTACTTGTACTTCAAATATTTATTTCGTCCTACCAAACTACAACTATCTAAGGTGTTTCTTAAAAATAACACAAAATATGATATAATTAATGACACTAAAATATCCAACAAAAAAAAAATAATGAAATCGCGTAAAACAAATATTGCAAATTAACAAGTCATAATGAAAATGATCATAATTTAAAAGTACTAAATCATGCTAAAATAAGCTTAATAAGTATTGGTTACAACTTACATGACTAAATATTAAAGGAAATTAAAATTAGATTATGTATTTTAATTGTCTAAACCAATGTAAAACTAAAGAACAAATATTCAATATTATTATCATTCTTAGTGTTGAATTGATTTTCTTTTTGCATTAGTACTAATTTGATTTTGATTTAAGCTTTATTATAATTACCAACATTTGTAGACTCTTTATTGGACCATTCCGAATTCTAAGTTTCAAACTTGAAATAATATATTAAAAGATAATAACTATGAAAAAGTATAAGAAATATTTAAAAATTATATCAAAGTAAATATTTTTATGTATAAAATAAAATTTTAAAACTATATATATAATGTCGGGTTGATTTGGTTTCGGGTTGGTTTTTTTTAGTTAAAACCAACCCAACCCAAATATAGTCAGGTTTTTTTTTCAATATCAAACCAAGTCAAACCAAACCACTACTCGAATTTTTTTTCCGATTTGACTCGATTTGCGGGTTGGTTCGATTTTGTACGCCCCTACTTTCATTAATAGAAAGTAGAAACCAAGTTTTATGTAAAAGTTTCAATTTAAAATAACATACCGTCTAAGGAGGCCCAAAAATAAAATGAGATTTCAATCCGGTTACATGTTGTTTCTTGTTGCAACATGATCTATTTTGTGAATTAAAATCTTTAACAAATTTTAAATATCATGGTTTAACTTCTTCTTGTGAATTCTTGTGACTGTGGGAGGCAAGAGAAATATTTAATAATACATATGTATATAGAGATTCAACTGATATGTTTGAGTGTCGTGTCACCCCAACCCATACACATAGATCCACCCACAAATACCTAGTTTAGCGAAGAGACCACTCAACCATTATGATGTCTCGAGGAATTATGAAACTTCAGGGGAATTTTAGTAGTTCAGTCAGTTGACTACTGAACACTCACCTTATGAATGAGAGTTTAATTCTCATTTAATATATCGTCAATATATACGTGTTTCCCTAAAAGGCAAATTCCATGGCAATAAAAATCTCCTATGCTTGGCCAAAAATTTCCAGTAATATTTCTTGGAGCCCGGAATAAACACTAGTAACAAAGTTTACCCAATAGATGGAGCTCTATCAAGATTTCTTGGGCTAGACAAAGATTTGAGTTGCTCTTGGCCCATTGGATATTTACCCTGAATTAATTCCTTATGGATCCTCCCTCCCACTCCCACTCCCACTCCCACCAAAGTTGAATATTTTGGTAAAAAATGATATCAAGTAGCCACTCTTGTGGTGAAAAATAGTCACTTCTGTACGTAAAACTTTTATAGTTTGCTGTGGAGGAAGAAGAAACATGTGTATTGCTGTTTTATAAGTTTGTGACTATTTTTCAATTACCTTGCAAACGCTGGTTATATTCCAGTTAGCAGTACTCAAGTGGATATTTGTCAAAATCATCATCCAGTTTCTTTCCTCCATAAACTGCTTGTAAGAAGTAAAGAACTAGGAGCTTCAAGCAGCTAGCTAAAATGAAAAAAAGATGCTATTCAATTAGAAGACCAAGACAGATAAAAGGACGCGACTTTGAAAGAAAACTCCAATAGTGTCAAACAATAGGAACGGAGGAGGAAAAGATGTTATGAAACTAAAAATAAAGGACAGTATAAGTTTAAGAAAGCAGAAGTTTTTGTACATCCTACCAGACAGGTGAGACCTAATTATGGCAAGATCAGTAACTTATTATAGTCAAACCCTGAGAAGGATCTAAAATCCATTTCACCAAAGGTGTGCCCATTGGAACGAGAACCATGGGAGAGCAGGGTCAAATCCGTCTTAATGGACAGAGTTGCCTCATACATGTACAAACAGAACGACAAAAGGATGCAAGCATACAGTGGAATATGACACCACGGTTATCCAAAAAAACCAAGAGATCTAAGAGTCTGGTGTGGCCAACAAGAATGACTTAATCATGAAAACTAAAAAGGTTGCCCCCAGCTGCTACAAATTCTATTGGGAAAAAAAATTATGAAAGCTGCAACAAAAGACTAAAGTGCTGATTCATTTTTTCAAGGGAAAAAGGAAGGATGTGTCAGATGGCTTACCAGAAAGAGGGAAATATCACAACTTCATGTTCATCCAGAAATGATTGTTTGAGAGTTCAAGAAATCAACCAACTTATCTTCTGCAGAGTTTCTTTTAATCATTTTAATTAGTTAGAAGTCAATATGGACTAAACAGAAATTAGAGGTAAACCAAATTTTCACAGCTGAATACAGTCACAGACTAAAAATAAGTGGGCAGTTATTTTCACAATTGCTCTTTACTAAACCACTCTCTATAGTACTCATTTAAATGGTTAATACAACTCATAACCAAGATTATTCAAGAAACAAGCAGTTAGTACGTTCAAACGTCAAAGCAAGACTACAGGATCTTCTCTAACTGTTGTTGTCCTCCTAGGATGCTCTAATAGTTTACAGTTATCATTTCAGGCAACAGAGGTCCATGCAAATACAGCAACAGAGTTTATATGTGATATTACAGTTAATCTAGTTGAAGAAACAGAAAGCAGCTGTGTAATATCTTCAAAAAAAAAGAAATACCAAGACTAGTTAGCACATCATGCACCATGTTTCTTTTTTTTCAAAGGCATCATACACAATGTCAAACAACTGGTTTCATGCACTACTACAATTCTTACAACTGGCTTTGTTGACCGAATCAATATTTACAACAATGTAATGAAGAAGAATTTGATCAATGCACAGCACAGATGTCAAAATGAGTTCAACATAAAACCCTCCTAAAAGCAATCGAAATGACATATAAGTCAAATTCGTAAATGACTTCACTTAAAATCAAGCAACTTTTGGTGGAAATGTATTTACTAAACATCTTCAATGAAATCTCTGCCATGGACATCAAAATATACGACTCTGGAGAGGTCCAGAGGGTAAGGCTTCACTGTTGAGAAATGAGTCTCGAACTTTATATGAACATCGAAAACCCATTGCCAACATTAAGATAGATCCAAACAAAAAAAATAAAGAAACCACCTTAATGGCCACATTATGATGTTTCTGACATGGTTGCTTAAGATAAGCCCATTTGATGAGGAGAAGATATGAATCTATGGTTTGTATGGAACACAGCTATTCTGCCAAAAATCCACAAGGTTATTGTTTCTCCAGCAAAAGAATATGATTTATACAGTCAAGGAATTATTCAATCTTGTGCATCAGTTCAAATCTAAAAGAAGAGTAGGAATCAGGAGGCCAACTCGATTTTCAAGGATCAGATCACGGAAAACAATGACACTTAAATCAACAAAAAATTCAAAAGAACATCAACAATGTCGGTCTTTTCCTAGTATAGCTGTATAATTTGTCTTTGAAAAGCACATATGCACCATATTTTAAAGGAAATATAGGCATAAGATAAATCAGAATTTGCAATATATGATACTGATTTACAATTTTAAAGATTGTCAATATCAAAGGGATTGGCAGCTCTGTAGTACATCGTCAACAGGAATAGCAGTTTCAATGTGCTGTCAACTATCTGTCGTATGTTTTGAGAACTTGCACTAATGTACGATCACTAGTTCATAAGAATCCCTATTTACGAATAACACAAGGACGCTCACCAAACCTTTCTAGAAAGACAGCCTAAAAGTTAAAATCATGTCCTTACTCAGCCATGAAGAACACTAATATCTCAACATCCAATGCTCAGCCAATGAAAGAAGGCGTTGTTCATATTTCTTCCATTCCTCTGCAAATATGTCCATAGGCACGTCCTGTACTCGGGCAGAAGAACAAAATCAGGAATCCGCAAAACTGAATTGATCTAACAGAACCATCAAACCTTTGGGTTTAACATTCAATAGAGATTTTCACATGATTATAACAACATATTATGTCTCAAAAATCATTTCAATCAGTCATCACTCTCATCGAGGCCACTATCGGCAGTAACTCGTTGCTTCCTCTTGCTTTTTGTTGAGAATCTTGCTGCAGATACACTCAGAAGTTTATTGAGCGACATGCCTTCCCCTAAGATCTTTCTTTTCTCTTCGTACCTGTGTTTAATCCTTCCGTCAAGCTTGTACCCAAGAAATGCAGGAAAAGCCAATAGCTCCCCAACTTCACGACCCATCTCCTCAACCAAGTAGTCCATCTTCTCCTCCAGTGATTCATGATTGTACTGTAATACCTGCGGATGTTTCATGCTCATCTCCAGAATGTCATCAAAAGTCAAGCCGTAGTTCAAAAATACGCCAACAACTTCTTGCATATTTTTACAGCTAGTCCTGGTAACAGCTCCCATTGCCATAGCCAATTCCTTAGTATTCTTCTTATACCCAATCTTCACCAAAAAGACCAGCTTGTAAGCGAGATTCCCCTCAAATGACAGACTTAGAAATAAAGGAGCTTTTATTAAGAACCTGAATATATCATGTGAACTCAACCCACATTGCTTTAGAAAATCAATTCGAGGATGCAATTTCCTTTTCCTGCTGGCACTAAACATGTTGGGATAAACTAAAACAATTCGAAAAATCTCCTCCTCACTTAAGCCAGCATATGATTTCAAGAACTCTACATGATCTTTTAAGTGATCAACACTGTATGCTACAACAAATGGCAACTTACGCAACACAGTTGCAGTTCCGGTCTCATCACCCCCACTCAGCTCCAAGAGGAACCCTACCCTGGGAATCAACTGGGCATCAAGGTCATAATTGAGAAGTGCTGGTCGGCGAAGGATCAAATCACTACCACCAAAACGGTTCAAGAAAGTAAGCATTCTTTCTATATCTTCAAATGACTTGAGACAAAATGCCTTTGTTAAGTTGGCATTGTTGAGAACGTGAACAATTGTGTCTTGGGTAATCCCAAGTTGGAGTAACAATCTAACCTTCGTTTCAAATCCTGCAAGAAACCTTGGTTCTGTTGAGTTAAAAAGATGTTCAATCTGTGAAGATTTGATTTTTCCTGCCAATTCCAAATCACCCTTGAGAAGAAAACTAACAAGGCCATCAATTTCCACAGCTGTTAAAACATCTGGTCTTTTCACAATCAATCTTGAAAGAGCAAGGCCGCTGACCCCAAGGGACTGCAAAGAATGAATTCGCGTGCGTATGGATTCGAATGGCGTCAGGTTAATTGCCGGGTGGGCGTCCAAAAGAGCTTCAGTATCAGTCTCATTGAACCCAATTTCTCGAAAGAGTGAAAATAGCATCACCCCTGAGAAAAGAGACCATTGAAGAGCAGTCAAAGAAATGGGGATGATAGAAACACATCAGGTGTTTGATATTTGACCTGAGAGAAAGAAACTCACCGGAATCGACGAAAGAATTTGTAGAGCTGTCGTTGATGGCGAGGGCGTTGCATTTGAGCAGTAAAAGCGTGGAATCTTGAGGAACCAGAAAGAGTAAAGGTAGTTTATCTTGTTTCTGTGGGGAAAATGTGAGTTTCTGAGAAGGGAGCAACGCAGAAGGAAAGAGAGTTCGTATGGGGGGAGATAAAGCCCGAGATAAACAGGAAGGAGAAGGCGAAAGAGGAAAAGATTTGGTGGGCGTCGACATGGTAGCAAAGGAGGCAACACTGCAGCCAGTTGCTTGGCGATAAGGTAGATGATGATAGTTAAAGCTGTTGCTCCAAAGTGTCACTCTCCAACTAGTAACGGGTTAAAAACCAAATTTAGTACAGTACTACTTACTAAATTATTTTATCATTTGGGTTAGATATACAAGGCGCGCCAAAGTACATTAATTTCAAACAATTTTTACACGTTTGTAAATATTGACATAAAAAAAACAAGTTGAAAAAATTTGTCCTAGTGAGTGTGTAAACCAACTCATGATAATATTATCAATAAGAATTGTGATACAGTGGTAAGTATTTTTTTCATTTTTATTAAGACATCCACGTTGAGTCCCCTGAGGTAAGTAATCATCTTTGTTGGGGAGCATTTTACCCTTAATGTGAGACTTCTAACATGAGTTCGGATTTAATCAAACCAAGATAATGTTGAATAATGTTTCCTAAAATATGGTCCAACTGTTAACTAACGGTATTTTACTAAGTCAAACAAGGAGGACCAAACAATAAAAAGAAAAATAGTAATTCTAATTTGTTAATAGTAAAATTAGAACAAGAAACCAAATGAGGCAATAATCTTCTATTATCATTTGTAATTTGAATATAAAAAATGATTGCATCGCCTCTATTTTATTTAGGGAAAAAAGTCTGAAATATATCCGAAATTGTTGTAACAATCTCAAACTTTGAGAAGAACCTTTTACCCCTGCACTATTTAATAGTATATTTTAAAGATATATATATGCCCACGTGGACATCATAAATATTACATCATTATAAATAGTAACTTGTCCACGTGGGCACATATATACCTTTAAAATACACTATTAAATAGTGCAGGAATAATAACTCCTGCTCAAAATATGGAATTGTTACAGCAATTTCGATCAAAAATATATTTCGAACTCTTTTCCCTTTTATTTACTTGTCTCGTTAAGAAACTAACATTTGTTCTAAATCATGACTGATCTCTCCGGACCAAAGTATGGCTTTCCAACATTTTCCAGTCATGGAAAACTTAAAGCGCAGCAACCCCAACTGATGCCTTCAAAAAATTAAGCTAAAAAAGAGGCAATAATAGTCCAATTCTACATAGTCCTGTGATCGCCGAAAAGTGGTTCTAACAAATGATATTCATCAGTAAGATTAAGCAATGTCTAGATGAAACCACCAAAGTTCACTTCCACGTCTAGTTTAGGGAGAGAAAAAGGAAGCGCTTCTTTCAAAATAGGAATGAGGAAAACGCAAAACGACATACAGAAACACCATTAGTTACCCTTACTCATTGATGTCTTCGACTCCCCTCTCAGCCAACAGAAAACAATTACTTGGTATCTAAAAAATTTAAATAGGGAATAGATGGCAAACCAAGAAGCTGTTACATTGCCAAAATGGGAGCTTCAGCTGGTACTTGACTGGACTAGTCCTCAAACAGATTTACCTATCAGCTGTTGCAAATGTTTGAGTAGCCTGTATCAGTAACTTCACAACTCCAAGAAAAATTATACTTGACTGAACGTATTCGACTTTGAGCAATGATAGCTTAAATGTTTGCATCCTGATAAGTAAAACAGTGTGTTACATCAACAAAAAATTGTACAATTATAATTCTCTGCACAGTGAGTGGTATTATACAATTCTTCCTGCTCCGCTCAGCATCTTATATAATGGAGTAGTTGTTTCTGGAAAATGGCATGCTTAAATATTCCAAAGATGGCAAGGTACAGATGAATTTGCAATCAGACAACAATGTTTGGTTGATTATTGAGCTTGACACTGTCGATGAGATGGCTTCAGAGAATTCTTAGCAAAACCTGTTCCATTTTTCTTACTTGTTGGAATGCTCTTGATTAGAACAACTGATGAAGATGACTTCTTCAATTTTCTGTGAAATGCACAAAATATTGTTAGACAGGTCACATACTCGAGAAAGCCCACAAGGAAGACAGAAATTACAACTTAAGAAATTCTTACAAGCTCCCTTGTTTCTTTTTGGAAGCCTGGCCAACAGAATCAGATGTCCTTTTACAAGTTCCTTCCGATTTATCATCCAACTGAAGCTTCTGCACAAGACAGTAAAAGTCAAGACAACTTAAAAGACGATTGAACAATATTCTTCAGGTAAAACCAAAACGGCTACTGATAACCATTAGGTACCTGGTCTTACAACAATGCCTAATATCTATACACCAACCCCTTCACTACTTAAATGCACAGAATAATCCATCAAATTTCTCATAACTTTATGCATGTGAATTCAAGATCACGGACTTCTACAGTAACAGATTTGAATATTTGTCTCCATATAATTATTTTATACTCGCGGGACGATCTGTTTGTGTTATATTTTTATGTGCAGGAGTGGATTTATCTTAAGCCAAGCGGTGTCATATGAAAACGATTTGTCGGAAAATTTTACTAAATATGTCTATATAATTAAAAGGCAGAAACAGAAAGTAGATAAATTGAGTAAAATGATACCGCTTCGTCGGAAAATTTTACTAAATGTCTGTATAATGAAAAGGAAGAAACATAACCATTTGACAGTTGAAACCAAGAGCTACACAGCTCATTTGGTCGGGTGCCTTAAATTTCTACTAGATGTCATGAGGTCGAAGCTAGCAGCTTCATTTGTTGTTTTAATATTTTTGCGCCTCATCTACAAAAGGAACATGTCCAGCCATTCAGTTCGTACCGCTGACCTCTTGAAAGGTTGACAAAACATAGAACATTAGACTAGAATAACATTTGTTGACTCTTTGCACAATAAACTATTTGATGGTTAAGAGAAGGATGGAACTATGCTATTTTCTTTCTTTTCCTTTTCCTTTTTCCTTTCATCTATTTTCTCGCCAATGAAATTGATAAAGAATGATTTGCGGAATCAAAATGAACAATGAGTTTTTAGTGATTATTTGATGCCCTATATAAAAAAAAAGTACTTGGTATTATTTCTAATGAAGTTATTTTAAATACATTTCACAAATGAAAAACAAGAAAAGTTAAGAGGAATATACGTGAATTGTGTTCTGTTTATATTTTGTTAATTTTTAATATGATGTTATAGTGTTCTACTCATTTTAAAATGTGACATTGCTTACAGAAAATCTTGTGTGCTTTATTGTTTATGTGCAAATATAAGTCTCAGTATGCAAGTTAATAATGATAAGATTGACCTAAAGAAATTAGCACTAATGAATCTACCAATAAGGACATAACTAGTATTCCTAACTATTTAGCAAATATATCTCGGCAAAAAGGGACATCCCTATTTGAGACCCGTCATGCTCTTACTAATCTCAATGTCTTCATAAAGAGACAAACGGTGTGAAGAACAAAAAATAAGATCATATTCACTGACCTTGTGAAATTAGGTATTGGGCCTAACTTGGCACCCCAAAAGCGCTCAAAGGGAGGAAGATTGCCCAAGACCTAATTTTACATGGTATAATAGCAGAATTCATTTCACCCAATGTTGGGCTCCCACATCGGAGGTTAATGAGATGGGGGATTTCCTTATCAAACTTGGGCAATCCTCCTCAATTTGAGCTATCTTGTATGAGTTAGGCCCAAGACCTAATTTTATAATCTCTAAGCCATTTCAATGGGAATTAAAGAAACGATCCTGCCTATTCTCTAGCAAAGAACCATATACCCCAAATTCCATCATTTTGACTACAATTTTTGTCATTGGTGAATCAATCTGATTGAAGCCAGTCTAATAAAAATGTGGCATACCATACATTTGCAACATTTCAAGGAAAGGAATAGAAATAGATGAAGTTCGTACAACCAGACAAAACTTCATGATCCGACATAATGCAGTTTGCAATTCTATTGCAAACTCAATAATACAGGTCAGAACTATGCATCAGATGCTAAAGAAGCCACACTTGGCAGTACATACCAAATATGGTCTTTAGAAAAAGGAAAATAGTCAGAAATAACTATACATTGTTCATAAAATAAAATAAAAATGCATAGAATAGGCCATTTTGTAATACAAAAGAAGAAAAGTTTCATTTGGAGAACAGCACAACTAGAAATGAATTTTACCCCACAACGTTGCAAGAGGCATACGATGCAAAGCTACCATAAATATCAGAGAGGAGAGCTCCAACACATTAATGTGGTGAATGTTTTGATAAAAACATGAAGTATAGTTAATGATAAACATGACTTAGAAATAGCAGCATAGCGACCCACTATCATCATTTTCAAACGGAAGGCTAATAAGTAATATACATGATCAGAGTTTACACTTCAATTGGAGCTTGAAATCCATATAAAAATGCTTGATATAGTAGTAACAGAAAAGGATAGTCCATTTGCACAAGGATGACAAGCAATTATGCACTAAAAATTAAGCCTTCTTTAGAAAGTAACATGGTATGCTTCGGTCATCCTAAAGTAGCTCCAGTATATGCTAAACCCTAGTCAAGATTAAACAATATACTGATGGCGAGAATACTTTTTCCAATAATTAGTTTACACTTACTTGTATCAACTGTTTTTGATAAGCAAGCAACTTAACGCAAAGAAAGTTGGAACATATTAGCTAGCTTGATATAATTAAGCGTTCATATATCTATTGTGACCAACGTTCTAATTCACAATGCACTAGTGAAGTGAAACCAAGATCGAATATGTAGGTCATATGACCACATCACTAGCCATCATTAAATTGGGCATGCGTAGTTCCATTACATCAAACCAATATGAGCTTAATTGATATGCAGATACATTCTACATGTGCATTTACGACATCATCCATATGAGAACCACGAAGATATGGAAGATTTAACTTGCTTCTTGCATTATTGAAACATAAAATAACAAGAACTCTACATAATTAAAAAACTTCCATCAGTAACACGAAGCATGTGATACATAGATGTCAGTATTTGATCACACTCCATTAAAAGGATCTTAATTACTGAGTACTACCAAACAAGCATATAACCAAACATGATCACTAGTAGCATAATTGGTTTAATTGAACTTACTTCACTGACGGAAGACTTGCATTCTCTCCCTTTTGCAGCATAACCATCATGCCCGCTTATAAACTTCTGTTTCTTCTCGCCACGAGCATCCTCACTTGTCACATCAGCTTTCCTCTTCTTCTTCCCCCAATTCAGCGTCTTACTTTTTTTATCACGAACCTTCCAAACGTTCTTCTTTCTGAAAAGCAATTTCTCAAATTTCCACGGTGCACAGCTCGTATCTATCACCATTACTTCGGTCCGTGAAAATCCCATCAAATTGGCGTTGGACTTGTCCTCCTCTTCCGCTAAGTTCAAATTATGGCCCTGCTCTAATAGCTTGACCTGAGAATCCTTAATTTCCACCCGACATTTGTCCAGAGACTCAGTTTCTTCTTTCCTCTGACCACCCTCGACTACCGCATCATTGTTGATTTCCGATGAAGCACAAAACCTAGGGTTCGTCTGTTTGCGGGAGCCCCTTTTCACACTGAACTTAGGGAAACTAGTTGACTCCCCCATACAAAATAGCTCGGAGAGAACATTCGTAACTACACTACACATTTCTTCGTTGTCTCCACTGTTATGTGGTGCGGCCGGAGCTTGGTCCCGATGGAGGACCGGTTCGTTTACGGGCCGAATTGGATCCGAGCTGGATTCCGAACCGGTATTATTATTACTGTCTCTTATCTCAGTTTCGGTGCTGGGAGGAAGAGAATCAGATCCATTAGGAGTCTGGTGAGTGATAAATTGTTCGAGATTGCGGTTGTCGGCAAAGGAGAAGCCCTTTGATGATCGGAGCCGGTCAAGCCAGTTTGAACCGGCAGATTTCTGGGTAGAAATGGAACAGAGCATTGTGGACAATGAAATTAAAGAGGTGAGCTTAGGGTTCACAGAGAGAGTTCATGCTGTTGCAGAGACAAAGGTAGAAGCTGCCATCGGTGTGGAAACTGAAATATGGCAAAGCTGACACGTTGCTTGTAAGTGGTAGGAGGGAAAATGGAAGAACAGACAAATACTATATATATTAGCAGTAATTGTGATTAGCAGTCACCTAATTCTACCATCATTAACAAGATTAGCACTTTTTTTCCAATTTTTTACAAATTTAAGATTTGAATTAAAGCTTTTGAGTTCGGTTTAATCTGTAATTAAAGTACTATCTCTACTGCTGGTTACAAGTGGAGAATTGGTTGGATTAGAATAATTAATGAACTGAACTATTATAATTACACTAATTGTATTTAATCCAACTTACTATTTTTAGTACTTAACTTTCACGTGTTTCGTTGGGTAAACACCATTTAAATTAATTAGAAGTAAATCCAATATGGATGGGGTAGGTTTCGACTTATTTTTAAAGAAAAATTATCTAAATACACATCTTATTTTATCATAATTTCTAAAATTTCCTATCATTTAAAAAAAAATCACAAAATCCCTTCTCGGATACATCACTCTCATCTCGTTGATACATCCTATCCTTTCTTGGATACATCTCTCTCCTCTTTGATACATTCCCTCTCGGATACATCTCTCATATGTATCTGAATGTCCTATCCGTCTCTGGTACATCTCTGCTCTCTCGGATATATCTCTTCTCTATGTATCTGGATGTCCAGTGATGTATCCAGAGTCCAAATGATGTGTCCGAAATTCATAAATTTTAAGAATTTTTTGTAATTTGAAAAAGAGTAATAAAATAATGTATTTAGCTCTTAACACTATGTGATTTATGTAAATTATACTTTTTAATTCTTGCATATAATAAAGAGATAAGTTACTTCGTGTATTACTTGGCGTTGCAGTGAGTTTTTATATTGAAAAAATGTACTAATAGGAGGATAATAACAACATCCCATAATTTAAGTATCAAATAACCTATACATGAAATGTTTCAAAGTGTTTATAGATATCAACTCTTATATAATTTTACCATATAAGTAAATTATAGTTCATAAATCAGATATTGAAATATCCTAAGTCGTCAATTAATAAATAACATATGCTCGTGTTTCTTTTATAAGTAGGCGTTTGGACATGTGATTTCATATCGACATATGAAATTATGATATCTTCATCCTTGAGCTATTGAGAGTGAGTTTCTTACTTGAACTATCACACAATAGTAAGTGAACACAGCTAGACGTTCTAGCAAATGTTTGTCTAAAAATGCTCTAGGCGTGTTTGTTCATAAAATCTTCGTCCACTTGACATATATAACAACTTTTTTTGCCGAAACATTAATTTTAATTTTTTTAAAATATATTTTTAATTTATTTCTTGAAAACTCTAAATTCTATCATTTCAAGTGGAGATATCGATATCACGGTAGATGGTCCGAAAAATGGTAGTTGTATACGAAAATCTGTCCAATCGAATGTCTTCATCAATTTTCAAAAATGGTAGTTGTACCTGCATCGAGGCTGTTGAAAACCAAACCCTTGTGAAAACCATACGAGATAACCGTTGACTGAATTGAGCTCCAAATTGCCTTAGGCATTTGCTTAATGTAACAAATTCTTGAACATCCTTTTAAATTAATTAGAAGTAAATCCAATATGGATGGGGTAGGTTTCGACTTATTTTTTAAGGAAAAATTACTTAAATACACATTTTATTTTATTATAATTTTTAAAATTTTCTACCATTTAAAAAACTTTCAAAAATCTCTCAGATACATCACTCTCCTCTCGCCAATACATCTTATCCCCTTTCGGATACATCCCTCTCCTCTCTGATACATCTCTCCCCTCTCGGATACATCTCTCTCCTATATATCTAGATGTCCTATCCCTCTCTGATACATCTCTCCCCTCTCAGATATATCCTTTTTCTATGTATCTGGATGTCCAGTGATGTATTCGGAAGTCCAAGTAATGTATCCGAAATTCATAAATTTTAAGAAATTTTTGTAATTTGAAAAAGAGTAGTAAAATAATGTACTTAGCTCTTAACACTAAATGATTTATGTAAATTATATTTTTTAATTCTCACACATAATAAAGAGAGAAGTTACTTCGTGTATTATTTGGCGTTGTAGTGAGTTTTTATATTGAAAATGTACTCCCTCCGTCCTATTTTATATATCATTCCTTTTATAAATAGCTGGATCACAATACTTGTCATTTTATAAAATTTATGCATAAATTACCATATTTTGCGTATTATACCCTTGATAGAATAGTTAATTAATCTTGTCATTATTAATAAATTGACTTAAGAAAACATTAAATAAGGGTAGAAGGATAAAGTTACATCATTTCTTAATGCAAGTGCAAAGTAAAAATGTGACGTATAAAATGGGACAGAAGGAGTAATAGTTTAGAGGATAGTAACAACATCCCATAATTTAAGTATCAAATAACCTATACATAAATTGATTCGAAATGTTTATAGATATCAACTCTTATATAATTTTACCAAATAAGTAATTATAGTTCATAAATGATATCGAAATATCCTAAGTTGTCAATTAATAAATTGCATATGCTCGTGTTCCTTTTATAAGTAAGCGTTTAGACATGTGATTTCATATCGAAATATGAAATCATGATATCTTCGTCCTTGAGTTATTGAGTATGAGTTTCTTACTTGAACTATCACACAATAGTAAGTGAAACACAACTAGACGTTGACTAGAGCAAATGTTTGTCTAAAAATGCTCTAGAGTGTTTGTTCATAAAATCTTCGTCCACTTGACATATATAACAACTTTTTTTGCCGAAACATTAATTTTAATTTTTTAAAATATATTTTTAGTTTACTTCTTGAAAACTCTAAATTCTACCCTTTCAAATCAAGATATCGATATCACGATAGAGATGAGACAATAGCTATGAATGTGGGGAAGTAGATGGTCCAAACCATTAATTTTAATTTTTTAAAATATATTTTTAGTTTACTTCTTGGAAACTCTAAATTCTACCCTTTCAAGTCGAGATATCGATATCACGATAGAGACGAGACAATAGCTAAGAATGTGGAGAAGTAGATGGTGAATGTCATGGTGGAAATAAATTAATTTATACAATAATAAATTTTAATCTTTAAGCTTAACTTTTAACCTAATATTAATTTACCACAGTGAAATTATTCTTCAATTTGAACGGTCATGCACCATAATCTTTAAACAAAAAAAGAGTGTACACACATGATAGTTGTGATTTTACAAACTATTAAATGCACATGATTTTACAAAAAATTACTAATTCAATATTCAACCGTAGTAGTCACTAGCTACCCTCTAATAAAATCCTCACCTAATACGACAATCTATTCATGTCAAATATAATATAATAATATATTTTTTACCAAATATAAATTTATAAATCAAATTTTAAAAAATCTAAAATCATGATTGTTTGAATCGAAAATTTTATACAAATTTCATAAATAAAAAGTTTATTTAAAATCAAAACTTGAAATAATGCTTCCAAGTTCTATGTCCAAACTCCAAACACCTACCATTTTTTATTTTTCGAAAAAGTAATAGTACCAACTACCAAAAGCCAATTGAAATAAAGGGAGTAGTAATGTAAGGATATGACACAGGTGTAGAGAGAGTATCAATTGGCCTCACACTGCGGCGTTTTCTACAACAGAAAACACCGACATAGGATGCTCCGTCGTTTTGTCCCCATCCGATTCCCCTCGAGATTTCCACTCTTAACGCACCAACAGTCCACTATTCTGCTGATGACCATTATCCTATCTTCTTCTTATCCAAACAACCAAATCATCCTTCCTTCTTTCTCGCATTTAATCCCTTACTCAAGTATCTTCACACAACAATAAATTCCTCACCACCATAGATTTACCTTTCATCTCCTTTTCTATTTTATCTATATCAAAATATTCATCTTCTTTCACCTTTCTGGGTAATCGATTTATCGCTTGTATTTTATTTATTTTTGGTTAATTTGATATAGATGTAGGATGGTGTTAGTTGAGGAATTTTTGGAGATTCTTGAAAGACCCACCATAGGTGCAGTATTTGTAGAGATCATGGTGTTTCTTGGTCCTGTTTGGATTGCATTTCTTGTGGGTATTACGGTGGGATGGATTTGGAAACCAAAATGGGCTGCATGGAATTGTAAATTTGATTTTTCAGTACCTTCTTCCCCCTCTGATTCGGTTCCTTCTACCTCCAAACCCCTGGGTTTTCACTCCTCCGAGGCTCCTACCCCTAGTTTTGCTTCTTATGCGGATGCTGGCTCAGAGATTGAACAATTTGACACTGGGTAAGCTCTATTCTTTATTTCAAATATAAAAGTTTATGCTTTGTTATACTTTGTTTGGGTGGTTGTTACATATTGTTGCTTAATGTATTGTATTGTCTTGATGAATACAATGTTTGGATAGATTGTATCGGTTCTTGTTAAATAGTGTCACACATGAGCAATATGATGGACAAATCTACAATAGGATTATTAGATAACAAGCAAAGATAATATGAGAAGAAAAAGATAGGTAATGAGGCGATAACACCAAATCGGTTGTTACATACTTTTTGTTGTTATGGAACATGGATTTAACAATACGATATAGTAAAATTTAAGTAACAATCGAAACAAACATTGCATTCAAACCAGCAATACAATACAATGCTGACTCTGGTTGTTCGAGTTCGAGAATTTTTCAATAATTTTGGTTTCATCTTGATTGGATGGGGTCACTACTCACTACTCACACTGTTTTCCCTTTTTCTGTCTTAGTCCATCGAGGCTGAATACTTTACCAATATCAGATGAAGATTTGGATCATTTGTGGCATCTTGTTGAGAGGAAAGATGGAGGCCCTACGTGGAAACACTTGATGGATCATTCCACCCCTAATATGAGCTATCAAGCGTGGCAGCGTCATCTGGAGGTAGTAAAGCCTATAGTCTAATGTATTGCTATATCTTTTCCCCTTTGCCTGGCTTGTTTATTGATTTTTCCTTGTTGTTTTTCTAGACTGGTCCCCCTCAATATTGCAGCCGAACTGTGTATGAGGACGCAACACCTGAATTATTGAGGGACTTCTTTTGGGATGATGAGTTTCGAGTGAAGTGGGACGACATGCTTGTACATGCTGAAACGATAGAAGAGTGCCCCACAACAGGAATGATGGTAGTGCACTGGGTTCGAAAAGTAAGAATATGCAATGTACTCTTTTGCAAACTCGGTATTTTGTTTAGCTAATAAGTAGTTAATTCATTTGGATACTTTTTGTGCAGTTCCCGTTTTTCTGCAGCGACAGAGAATATATATTTGCTCGTCGAATATGGGAGTCAGGAAGGTCATATTATTGTGTAACAAAGGTACAGAACTTCGAGTAGTTTCCCTTCTTTTGTTCTTATTTTGTATAATATTGTATTCAAATGAGCTTAAACGGAGCAACATGGTTTCATATAGCCGATCCTTTTTTCTTTTGATTTAGATGTTTTTCTCGTTCCGACTCTTCATTTCTTCAAGTATTCAGCCGATAAGGTGGCAAATTACTATGTTTAAGCTGGTCTCATGTTATGCTTACACACTGTGCCTATTTGTCTGATTGATGACGTGCTGTTTGGTTGAGTTCTTCCATAAATGAATCGGTCTAGGGCCTGTGAAATGGATGAATATGTTAGTAGAATTGTTGGCTGATATCATTAGGTGCAGAGTCCATGATGCAACTTTGAGTCATTCAAAAACCTTGGAGTTGCTTAGTGGATGGCATCTCTTGTGGAAATTCCTATTTGATCTAGGCAGCACAATTGTCAGGTTATCTAGTTGTGAGATCATACCTATTGTGGCACCGACGCTTAAGCTGGTCCTAGAAATACAGTAACAAGGAGCCACAAGACAATGATTCTTTTTGAAACATAATATTAAAAAAATAGTTCTGTGAAGAGTGTAGTTGATGTCAGTTTACTTGCTTGGGATTCTCTAACTTCCACAAAATCCTTCTTTGGACTTCAATTAGAGAAATGGAGGATGGGCAGAGCTTGAGAGGCCTGAAACATCAAAAGTATTCTCCTTCTATGCCACAGTTAACGGACCACCCGAAAACATTTAACCATCCCCTTCACCCCACCCAACGCCACAAATTAATGGAAAGAAATCAATGAATTGCTACACCCTTGTTTATTAATCCTCTTCCATCTGACTCTGAGCTGATTTTCCTATATTTGGAGGTCCCCTCTAATTATGATTTTCCTTGTGATTTGTTAATCAGGGAGTGCCATGTCCTACTATTCCCAGGAAGGACAAACCTAGACGTGTTGACCTGTACTATTCAAGTTGGTTCATTCAAGCTGGTATGACCTTACTTCCTTCTTTGAATTCCTTTTTCTTTTCCAGGTTGGGAAATTAACTTATCATCCCTTTGCTTTCCCAACTAGGTAGCATATCTATGAATTAGAATAGACATGTGCATTAGCTTGACTGGCATCATCCTGTTCAATTTCTTAACAATGCACATTGACCTACTGGGCATGAATTTCCTGCAATTCCTTATCAATTTATCTGCAAGTGTCGCTCACAAGATTTAGACTTAAAAGTCTTGATCATCTGACTCTGAATTCCATCTGTACTGCATGAAACAGTGGAATCAAGGGAAGGAAATGGCCAGCTGACTGCATGTGAGGTGCTTCTCTTCCATCACGAAGATATGGGCATCCCATGGGAAATCGCAAAATTTGGGGTAAGGCAAGGTATGTGGGGGACTGTAAGAAAGATTGAACGTGGACTTCGTTCCTACCAGAAATCAAGAGCATCTAACACGAAGATCTCTCACTGTGCTTTGATGGCCCAAGTAAATACGAAAATTGATCCAGAATACTTGAAGTCAACGGATGGGAATGAGGAATCATCAGGGACTGACATAGAGATTTTACCTGCAAAACGTGAGGGCAGTATAAACATACCAAAGCTACTTATCATTGGCGGAGCTTTGGTTGTTGCTTGTACTCTTGACCAAGGAATCATACCCAAGACATTTTTGTTTAATGTAGCGAAAAGGTTTGGAAATATAGGGAAAAAAGCAAGTCCAAGGCCATGACGGATAATTTCATTAGTGCGATGATTTTGTTGTACATAACCTATTCCATCCCCCCCTCCCCCCCCCCCCTCCCCCTTTTAGCGTAGTGTTAGTGATCGATAAAAGCAATGACTTTTAAGTGTAACACAAGCTGAGTATTATTGATCAATACAAGCGCGGCACAGATTATCATCTGCTTTACTCAGGCCTTTGATTCTTAATCACTAAACTGTCCACAAGAAGTTCTTATCATATGACTACTGTTCATGTGAGTCATATTGTATAGAGCTTACTACCTCCCTTTATAGTCGCAAGCTTACTAGGCCGCCTTTATAGTCGCATCTGTTGTCCTGGGAAAAGAGTTTGTTAAATTTGAATTTAGTCTCGCCACAACACAAGCTGTGGTATAATCTGTCTATACCTCACTCGGTTCAGTAAGATAAAGATATGGTTTGATGTGTGAGGCCTCGCTTCACTAACAAAAGTCGCTTCCTCGTGAACTCCGTTAACTAGGCGCCCCTCTCCAAGTAGTCAGTCTGTTCTCTCGTAGATTTCAAGATGGATATCCACCAAAAAAAAAAAAAAAGAGCCAAAGAGAATAGAAGTCCAAAGCTAAGGGATACAGACGAGAAAAGTAAAGAATTATCACATCGTAATTTCAACTCGAAGAAAGGGTTGTAAAATAGTGGAATTACATTAACGTGCACTAGACGAAACATACAGCATATTCCCTGCTTTTTCAATCTCTTTTGTTTCTTCCTCTAGAAAAGATCGATAATTGATCAGGGAAACAGATTTAAAGAAAAAAATGTGGATGGAAGTTGTTCAAACAAGAAATAAAAGAATTTAATACAACTAAATTGTATCAACCTTCATGATGGCAGTGGGCTAATTAGTTACAGTCAGACAAGAATAAAGAATTTCAATCTTTTAGACTTTATGTAATAAAAATTAATAGGGAAGAATTGTTTCGAAACAGTGGACCCCATCCAATTCCGGTGCAAACCTCGGCCTCCTCCTTTGCTGCTGTGGACGCGACGGCGATTTTGAAGATGACGGCGCCGCTGCCTCTCCGGCCTTGTTCAGTTCACCAGGTGAGGAAGTAGACGGCGGAGAAGCGGCGGTCTTGCGATCGGATACAAGAGGAGCCAGACCTTGTTGTTGTTTGTTGTCAGAAGTGGCCGGTGCCCAAGAACGGCTCACCTTTAGGCCAAAGATCTCAGCGGAGAGAGCATCAAAGGAACTGAAAATTGACATCATCATCTTTGTTGCTATTTTTTTCTTCTAATTGGGTAAACAAATAACAAGATGAAAATGTATTGGTTTTGGTTTATGTAAGAAGCGTAAGCGATGTAAAAACTTGAGTATGAAGAAAAGAAGTTGGAGAAGTAGATGTATTTAATAAGGGAGGGGTTAAATTTTGGAATCCGTGTTGCCGAAGTAAAATTGGGGAACAAAAGTGGAAAGAGGAGAAAGCAAGTTGCCGTTAATTCCCTTTCCAAGTATAATTGGTGGAATTAGAGTCTTTTGGAATTACCGATAAAAACGGTTTATTTTTTTTAAATATATTTTAAAAATAGCTTTTCATAAACTAGTTTTGAAAAATAATAATTTGTATTTGATTAATTTATTTGAAAAAATATTTTTGATAAGCATATTGTGTATGACTAATTATTTTTTTTTAAAAAAAGTGTTTTTGATAGTCAAATTACGAAAAATGACAAGCGATGCACTTCTAATATTAAGATTATTTTATTTTAAAAAATATTTTAAATATTTATTATAAAATAATTTTTGTTAAATTAAAATGTACATATTCAAATTTTCAATGAATATTGTACAAAGATAAATAAAAATAAAAATTAAATATTAATATAATATTAACATAATAATTTAAATATAATTAAAAATATCAAACAAAATAAATTTAACAATCAGACCACAAATTAAATCACCACATATGAAAATTCACCATAAAAATAAATAAATATAAGAGACACATGGGTAAATATGTATATATGGCAAGGATAATTTGGTTTTGAAAAAAATATATTTTGGTTTCTGCTTTTTATAAGAAGTAGATTTTTTTTAGCTTCTTCTCAAAAATAGAAAAAAACTATTTATATTTCTAATTAAAAACAGTTTTACTAATTAGCCAAATAGCTTAATTCCTCCCTCCCCCCAAAAAAATAATATTTTATCTCAAAATAAGTGTTTTTAATTAAAAAAAAATCGCAATTTTGGGACTTAGAAGGACGGCAGGATTGGTTGAATTGAGTTAAGCTATTTTCAGAAGTTTTGCATGCGAAATCAGGTCATAGTTATGCATACTTTAATCATATTATTTATTTAATTTAGCGTAGAATTAAAAATTACAGATCACCACGAAATTGGGATAACTCATGCACAAATTTGTTATAAGTTACTTGGTTTGGAATAAATTGAGCTTAAATAAGATAAAATGCGGATCAAAATTTAACTTGTTCAATTCTTACTATGTTTTTAATTGCTTTATTTCTTCTTTTATAATTTTTTAGTATCTAATAAAATTATAACAATATTTTTCTTTATTATCAAAAAATTATCTTTTAGAAATTTTTTTTATTAGATTGTTCTTAGATCAATTTAGGCTAAATATAAATTTTAATTTTAATAAATTAAATTGAAATAGACTAAATTAATAAATGGACAAATCAGTAATCAATTTAAATTTAATGAACTAGTCGTTTTTTTCACCACAATTTAAAATGGCCACTATCTTATGAACGCGTCACGAACTCGCGAGTCTTCTATTTTTGGAACGACATGATATTTTTCCTTCCGGATTAAATGGGAAGCTGCCTAATTCCATTACGTGGAAGCTTTTTATTAGACATACCATTTAACTAGTTAAATTCTTTTATATAAGTCACAAATATAGTTTAGAATACTTGTATTGGACAAAATTCGTGGAATCAATTACTAAGATAAACTGTTTATATCACAAAATTTAAAGTTGGACACTTTTTAAAATTATATATAAAAGCGGAATACTTAATGTATCGGACTATCACGAGGACAAGTGATAAGAGTAGTTGTTAATGGTTATTCCTAATAGGAAATTAGTTCGTATAATCGTGAAACGTGTCTTGCTTCCCGTGGTTTAAGCATACGCCTATTCGTGTCTTTTGTATCTATTACCCCATTTTGCAACAAGCCACTTGCTATAGTCCATTCATTGTCTCTCTCACTGTATATTTTTAGGATGTACATACCCAAAAAATAATCTAATAGGTTTGGGACCCAATCCATATTAGTGGACTTTCTTTGATAACAAAATCAAAGGATTGTTGACCTGGTCAATGAATTGAAGTCTCAAAGCTGTTCAATTTGCATATGGAATTATGGATTAAGCAGTCAACCAAACTTCAAATAGCTAGCAATTATAGACGTTGGCAAATTAAGGCGTGCTAGATGCTTTGATTTGGCCTGTTTGTTAGAAAATACACGTAATGGTCCAAGTTGGGATTTTCCTCGACCCTCACAATTTAGTTGACACACTCCACTAATTCAACCAAGTAGTTGGCTAGTTGCAATTAACCCACAAATTATGTTAGCTAAAAAACAGAAACTACCAATTGCAGTGCTTTAAAGGCCAACAACTAGTTGATCATCATCCTCTATAACCGGTATATATAAATTGTAAAATTTTCTAAATGACGTGATTTTTTTATACGAATTTGATTTAAAGCAGACAATATCACCATCTTAAGGCTATTTTGGACCAACACTCATTTCTAGTCAATATTTGTCCAGCACTTTCGCTTAAATTCAATGTTGATTTTCCACATGATTGTATTATTGTAGTATGTCAATCCCTTGAATTTACATCAGAGTAACATGGCCACAATTTGATTTAGCGCTAATTGCTCAAATTTAGCTGCTTACCACTTCAATCTTGTAGCTTTCACGAGGTTTTGTTTGAAAATTGCTTTTCAAAGTTCCAATTTTCGACAACAACTAATCGAATTTTTGCCTAAAACTTGATTTATCGTTGCTCCTAAGAAACTTACCCAACTAAATCTATTAAAAAAGAACAGACATGTGCTTGTTAAATATAATAAATATATGTATTCCTAACGTAACATTCGGTAAAGATATGACACCCGAGTCTAACTCAACCCCAAAAGCTAGCTCATAACAGGAGGATTGTCCAAGTTCATATAAGGAGATCACTAGTTCATTCCCAAACCAATGTGGAACTTTTATCCACTCTAACACCCCCTTCACACCTAGTCCGACAGACTGGAGTGTGGACCGAGAGCCCAAACAGGGATGGACATGGCTCTGATACCATGTTAAATTAGTTCTTGAGCCTAACTCACACCCCGAAAGCTAGCTCATGAGGGAGATTGTCCAAGTCCATATAAGGAGTCCACCAATCCATTTTCCAACCAAAGTGGGACGTTTACCTACTTTAACACCCCCCTCATGCCCAGGCCTGATCGGAGCGTGGAGCGGGAGTTCAAACGGGGATGGATCTGGCTCTGATACCATGTAAAGATATGGGACATGAGCCTAACTTAACCCCAAAAGTTAGCTCATGAGGGGAAGATTGTCTAAGTTCATATAAGGAGACCACAGTTCATTTTCCAACCAATGTGAGACTTTTTCCCACTCTAACACATACGCTACTCTCTTCGTTCCATATTGATTGATCATTTTTCTTTTTACTCGCATATTAGTAAGGTGATAAATTAATATGAGACAACTATTTTGAATAAAATGATCAACTAATATATAAATATGAGAGTACTAAACAATGAAGTTGCAAGAAATAGGGCGCCATGAATGGTCCAGGCATCATCTTGAGTCGTACTAGGCATTATCTTAAAAAACTATTTTAACAATACAAAATATTTTTCAAAATTAAATAAAATACGTGAATCAACAAATTAATTAACATCCGTCAGTTATTCTTGGCATAGGAGAAGCTCATCACATTATCTTGCCACATGGAACATACTTTCAAGAAAGAGCTAGCACATCCTTTCATTTACTGTACCACTTCTCCAAGAAAAAAATTAGCTTCTTTAACACATCTTTGAAGACTTTAATTTAAAAGGCACACTTTTAAAAGCAATTTTTTTGAAATAAGCAGTAATTTACTTATATATTCATCTTACAAAATAGTTTCTAAAATCATCAGTTGTGGAACTTGCTAATTGTATTTGATATGAATCACCGAAAAGATTTTTAAAAAGAGACATGAAACAAAAAAGAGAAATCACGAATTGAAGGTTTTTCAGTTAAGCAAATTACATATAATCAATAATATCATGACAATTGACAATTGACAAGAATAAAGAATTTCAATCTTTTTGGTGTTTATGTAAAAAAAATCAATACGGAGGAATTGTTTCAAAACAGTAGACCCCATCCAATTCCGGTGCAAACTTTGGCCTCCGTAGGCGCGACGGAGATTTTGAATATGATGACGGCGCCGCCGCCTCTTCTGTCTTGTTCAGTTTACCGGTTGCGGAAGTAGACGGTGGAGAAACGGCGATCTTGCGATCGGATACAAGAGGGCCCACACCTTGTTGTTTGTTGTCAGAAGTGGGCGGTGCCCAAGAGTGGTTCACTTTTTGGCCCAAAATTTCAGCGGAGAGAGCATCAAAAGAACTGAAAATTGACATCATCGTGTTGGTGTTTTCTTTTGGATCTAACTTGCAAATTAACAAATAATTTGAAAGCAAGCATTGATTTATGCAATAATAATCCTTGATTAGGAAAAACACAAACTGCAAAAGTGGGAATATACCTGGGGAATTGGGAAAGGAAACAACTGGGAATTCCTTTCCCAATTAGGATCGGTAAGATGTGGAAGTGGAGATGGGAGAAACGAATTTCCCTATAATTCACAATCTCCTATTAACGCGTATAGTTTGGATTTTTTTTATTTTTTTTTTTTGAGTGAAAAGTTATAATTTAAAAATTTTAATATGTTATAAATATAATGAATGTCTGCCGTGCATTTTCTTCATTGTAAAATCACAATTATAAGCGTTCTCTTTTCTCTCTACTTTCTTCTCATGATTTCATAATATGTTATCAACATAAATTGCTCATTGTCCATTAAAAGTTAACGGTAGGTATTTTTTGATTTTTATGGATTGGTCTCATCGTAAGTTTTTTTGGATGCAAGATGTATATATGTAAAGTTTATATAATATATGTATACTAAACTGAATTCACGTGGCTGGTCTGAAACAAATTTTGTGTATAACCTGTGGTGCTGCCTCTTGTTGATTACTTGCAGCAACATAGTGTTGCAAATCTCGAATGACCACGCTGCCAGAGTTTTCTTTTTCGAGAATATTGCTAATTAATCGGATGGTAATAAACCTAATGATTTAAAATTTATACTACTAATTTTAGTATACAACTTATCTGCGTGCACAACAACGGGGTCACCATATTCTTACTTGCATTAGTATTATTGCTGCTATTTAATTTGAACTCTGATGTAATTGATTTCTCTTTTTGTACGTATGATTTTGCAAATTGTTGCTTACAAAATTATTGCCACCATAAATGATAATATTGCTCAAGTCTCGAAGGTGAGCAATATGCACTTTTGCTTTATTATATTATTGGTTAAGGATAAGATGATGGATTCAAGTTTCACTAAAAGGATAAGACAATGAATTTATGTCCAATTACACTAAGAGGTCAAGACGATTGGATTCATGTCAAATCGCACCAAGAGGGTAAGATATCATGTTTCTGTATTGGTGCACCGTGATTAAAGATGTTGAATTTTAAGTCTCATCAATTTATATATTGCATAACAAGACTTTACATGGATAAAATGTAAGTTTGAGTCTCAATACATCAATATAATGATGACCGAGGCAAAATGATGTGTTTTTGATTAAAATTAGTCATGAAACCTATTTCAATCCCTAAAGTGAATGTGATGGCAGTGCATAATGCGTCTGAAAGAAGACAAGTAATTGAATAATGCACATGAATGTGGAATGAGGTACAAAGTTAACATAATTAGATATACTCAGATGATTGTATTACATTCATGATGAATGAGAACTTTTGATAAATGCTAAAATTATAGATGCATTCATTGAAGTGAATGAGGTATATATCAACCATGCTAGGCGTGAAAATGGTCGTGACCCTTGTCATGGATGTAGTATAACCAAGAATGTCTCTAAGCAGACATGTGTTATGGAAAAACTCCCTACTTTATCTTTTGGTTTGTGTTGAACAAGAATTAGTGCAATTGAGGCACATTCTATAGTAAATCAAAAGTTTACTGATTCCAATACTTTGGTTGTCAGGGACATTTTGAGTCTATAATAGACATCCATTAAAGAATCTAAAGGTTTTTTTTAAATGGTAATTTTTTTTTTACTCCTTGTTAGCAAGGCTAGTTAATTGTGAGACCATCACAAACAAAAGTTGAGATTGAGTCTCATGCGTTTTAAGAGCGTGTGAATGTTGGTAAGTGTAAAGCTTATTTGACTTGCAGTCTAGACACAAGAAGATTTCATACATTTAATGTGAATGTTGCTACTCAACAAAATTGATATGAAAAAGACTGAAGAATTCAAAGTGTAAAACATTCAAAGTTTTTGAAATACTTGTTTATAATCCTCATATAGATCACAAGCAAGAATTTTTCATATTGTTATGCAAGTTGATAACTTGAATTAAACTCTTGAAAATTTTCAAAAGGCAATAGATTATTTGCTTAAAGAAATTGAAGTGAGGAACTTGCAGAATTATTTGATCCCGAAGGATGATTCCTAGAAGGAGATAGTTCGAAACACATTTCGCCAAATCTTTTATACACACATGTGCTCCAAAAGAATGGTGATATCAATGTGCAACAGATTTGTTCAAGTGACAATGTGGTTGGTTTGTTCATCAAGTCTCTACCAACTACAACTTTCAAGAAGATGGTGCACAAGCTTGGAATGCGAAGATTCAAGTCTCTAGATTGATGTTCTCATTAGGGGAAGTTAATATGTGTTGTGCTCTTTTTTCCTTACGAGGTTTTGTCCCACTGGATTTTCCTTGTAAGGTTTTTAATGAGGCAAGCTAGATGCGTATTATTAGAAATGTGTACTATTTTCCTTCACTAGAGTTTTTATTTTTTTAAGTTTTTTTAGTAGGGTGTTAACGAGGCACATCATTTACAAATTAGACATTCAAGTGGGAGTGCGTTATAAATATAGTGAAGGTCTATCTGATAGAGAAAATTTAAGAACCCTAACTTTGGGACCAAGTCAATTTTCCCCTATAAATAGATGGGTTCTCTTCATTGTATAATCATTCATCAAGAGAAATTATAAGTCATCTCTCTTCTCCTTACTTTCTTTTCATTGTTTTATATAGTTTCATAACAATATATATATATATATATATATATATATATATATATGAACTAAAAAAAATAAACAAATTGATAGGAAAGGAATTTAACTTCAGTTAATATTAAAAAGAAATACACATTGGACATAACGTTGAACATGTCATGTTTCGTCTGATTTGTGCATGATGCGTGTCCTTTTACCCCTTTTTTTTTGGAAGCCAGTGTTAAGCGGATAAGCTTGTGGAAGGTTTATTTTCCCTGCGATTTTTCTCTATCAATAATTCGATATACTCATATGCTTAATTCGCGTGTATTATAGCCATACATATTATAATATGTATACTCATGAGTCATGACTCATGAGAGGTTCACAGACTAGTAGTTCTCGTAGATATTAAAATTTTATGGGCTCTATTAGATGTGTTTAATTTTAGTTGAGACTTTATAAGATATATAGAAAAGACATAAAGTTACCATTGAAGTTGTCTCGAATTTTCAAAAAAACACATTAACTTTGCAACCATCCTGTTACCCCACTGAATAATTATGAACTGATATTATTATATCATTTTTCTATCAGCCCCAATTTTTAAAAAGCAAGTGTGTTTGCACACCAATCATTATATGACACGTGTTGATTTAATTAAAAATATTTTTTTTTTCATTTTTAGTTTTTTCTTTATTTCTCTCTCTCTCTTAATATTTGACTTATTTTAATTTTAATTTTAATTTCATCTTAAATCCCACTCCATCTTCCACCCCCACTTTCAAGTTGATCTATCCCTTCATTTTCTTTCTTTTTCTTCACCTCCCACCCTCGCCCCATCCCCACATCAAGTTGAACTCCTCTCTCCTTTTTTTCTTTTCCTTTTCTTCTTCTTCTCCAATCAAATTATTTATTTTAGTGATTTTTTTGTAAAAAAATAATCATACTATTTTCTAGACTTTATTGAATAGATAACAAAACTAATTGTTTTTCTAAGAAACTTGAAAATTTTAAAGATATTATCAATTACTCCTTTTCATATAACTTCAAAATTAGAAGTGATAAATTTAAAAGAATCAATGAATTCCCCGAAAATTGAAAGAACTTGATTGAAACCGGATAAAAAAATTTTATACGATACCTCCTAATCATCTTGAAATCTAATGGGTTTATCAAATTGTTCGAAATGTAAGAAAATATTTAGATTAAGTTTTAAAATTAAAGAGAGTAAAACTAATAGTAGTAAAAAAAGGAAGGTGAAGTTGTGGTAAAAATGATGACATTGAAAGTGACAAACTTCAATGGAGATGACAATGAATTTTTGAAGAAGAAAGATCAAAGAAAAAGAAAAAATAATAAGGAAAAAAAGTTAAAATAATAAGAAAATATATTTTATAATAAAATACTTGTAAAAATAAAATTATATTAGTTATTTTATGTTGCTCACTTTCTTTGAAAGAGTGCACACACTCTCTATGTAAGGTGGACAAAAAATGATGCAATAATATTAGTTCAAGATTGTTTAGTGGGGTAATAAGACGCCCGCATAGTTAAAGTATTTTTTAAAAAATTCGGGACAAGTTCAAGTGTCATTTTATGTCTTTTCTCTAAGATATATTCAATTCTAATTAGAGTTCTTATAAGCTAGTCAACCTTAAACTCGGATTCATGCCTATATAAAAAGTATTATATTTCTTTGAAAAAACATCTCGAATATCCTATATTTCTTTGAAAGGCATCTCAAATATCCTATATGCTCTTGAGTATCATGAAAACACCATAATTCATCCGGATTGTTTTATAAGTTATAAGTTCAAGAATTCAAGCACATTAAAGTTCAAGAATAACTCAAGATCAAGACCATCAAATTCAAGAACAAGCTCAAACGCTCAAGTTCGAGCTCATCAAGATCAAGCTCGAAGACCCTTGGATCCAAAATACAAGTCAAGAACAAGTTCATCAAAATTCCAGATCAAGCTTACAAACCCTTGAAAATATGAATTAGAGGATTCATAGAGATCGTGATATAATTTTGTTGTGATATTTTTCGATTTTGATTATTATTTTCCTAACACGAATTTTATTTGATATCCCATTGAGCGTGCTAGAATTTGTAAACAATAAATTTTGCATCTAGAAACAATAATCAAAATCAATAAATATTGCAATAATCGTATTTATTTTATTTCAAATATGAGTATTACAATTTCTACGAATCTTCTGATTCATTAGGCTTTTAAACTTGATCTTGATGGACTTATTCTTAACTTGTATAATTTGGATCCAAGGCCTTCAAGCTTAAATTTGAATCTTGATGAATTTGAACTTGATCTTGATTTTTATTTGAATTTCGGGGTTGCTGAGCTTGTTCTTGAATCTGGTGGTTTTGATCTTGAATTGTTCTCAAACTTGAATTTTTGAATACTTGACTTCTTGAATATTTGTATTCGCGAACTTGTAGCATGTAGAGAAATCTTATGAAATATTCAAAATATTGATCTTTATTAATATCCAAAAGCTATTGTAGGATCCTAATTAAAATTGAACATATTTTGTAAAGTCCCACAAAATTTTAATATCGATAAAAAAGAACAATAATCTAGTAAGAGTACTCGTTCTGTCCTGAGATTTATCTTCTATTGTTGTTAAACAAAATGAAATTGATGGAGTACAATTTATCACTTAATATACGAGCAGCTATATGCTATCTCACCTAAAAATATACTACTAGACAATATAATGAAGTTGCAAGAAACTGGCACATGAATATCACCAGTCATAATAAACTTTCTGGAAGAAAAATAGTCTTCCTTCAGTTTCATCTTTTATAAAATCAGTTGCAAAAATCGTTCATTATAATTTATATTCGATCGCCGATCGCCGAAAAGAATAAATCGGAAATATAAAACAAAACGAGAAATTACGAATTGAAGTTTTACCAATAAGCAAAACAAAAAAGTGAATATGATCCGAATCCAAAAAATTGTATATATCATAATCAGTTTTCAATCTCGTAATTTTAGTAAAAACAAAAATCAATAGGTAATGATAGTTTCGAAACAGTGAACACCGTCAAATTCCAGAGCGAATCTCTGCCTCTTCTGCTGATTTTGGCACGAAGATGATGCCTCTCCGGCCTTGTTCAGAACAGCAATAGAAGAAGTAGACGGCGGAGAAGCAACGGCTTGGCTATTTGTTACAAGAGTTCCAACGCCTTGTTGTGTTTTGTCATGAGTAGTGAGTGCTTTAGAAAAACTCAACTTCTGCCCACAAACCTCAGCAGAAAGAGCATCAAAGGGACTGAAAATTGACATCATCATCGTTGCCGTTGGTGTATTGTTGCTTCTAACTTGCAATTTGCTAACAAATAACAAGCAAAGAAAATAGTACTCCCTCCGTCCCTATTTACTTGTCCATATTTCCTTTTTTAGTTGTCCCTATTTAGTTGTCCATTTTGACAAATCAAGAAAGGACAACAAATTTTTTCCTATTATACCCTTATTTACACTTCTTGAAAATTGTAAAAGTGTATGTTGTTTTCCTCCAATTTATTTCACTTGAATTCAAATAAGTGGTTATAATTTTGAAGTGAAAAGTTGTCATAAGGGTAAAATTGTAACTTCACTGTGTTAATCATTGTTGCCTTAATCTGTGTGTCATTTTTAAAGTGGACAACTAAAAAGGGACGGAGGGAGTAGTATTTATTTGTTGATTGGTTTTAATTTAGGTAAGAAGTAACTTGAGTAGGAAGAAAAAGAAACTGCAGAAGTAAAGAGTATTATATAGTGGAAGTGGAGTAAAACTGGAAACTTCTGTAAAGTGGAAATAGAGAGAAATGAAATTTCTAAAATTATTCTCCCATTCGTTGAATTTTAGACTTTTTGAAAGATTGGTGGGTCGGCTAATTAACTTTGAAAACTAACAATTCTATCAACGCGTGTTATTTTGGGTCATATATTTTGCGAGCGACATGATGTATATCTTCTCGATTTAATTGAACACTAACTAATTCTAATTATTTATTGATTTCTCTATCTTTAATTTTTTATATTTTAATTTATCAAGAGTTAAATTTATTAATTTTTAAATTATAAAATATAAAAAACGGAGTCTTATTGTAGTTGACAAAACAATTTGTGATTATATTATTTAAAATATGAAAAACATTTATATCCAAGAGAGTGACAGAACTTTTTAAAGCATGGTAGTTGATATTGTCCAGCCATTGTGTTATGCGGATAAGCTGGTGGACCAACTCAATATTGGTGGGTCTTTCTTCCATTAAAAATTGCTGAAATGGGAGCACCGAATTAAGTTTGAAATCTGTTCTACTTGTATATGCATTATATTAACGTGTCCTCCCTATATTTTTTATTTTTTTTATAATATCCTTCAAACTGAAACAACCATGACTAAAAAGGAGGTCTTCAATTTTTCAATTGATTGAACCAAGCTTCTGGTCTAAACTATATTCAAATTTTTTTTAAAAATTGTAACATGATATTTTTATTTGATTTTTTGAGAATATTATGGATCAATATACATATATCAATGTTAAGTAAGAACAAAATTTAATTTTATACGTATGCAGATGATGACATCAACATATTCTATGTGTGTATCAACAAGCCTATATGAACAAGGAGTTTTACTCTGACGTAAAACAGAGCTATGAAAGAAAAAAGAGAAATTACAAACTGATATCAAAATCCATAAATTGTATATATCAATCACCAAAATTTACATCATAGATGAGTCGTAACAATGATCATGGTAGACAAGAATAAATGAAATTTCAATCTCGTAATTTTAGTAAAAACAAAAATCAATAGGGAATTATAGTTTCAAAACAGTGGACGCCGTCGAATTCCAGAGCGAACCTCTGCCTCTTCTGCTGCTGCTGCCGCGAAGATGGCGGCGGCGATGCCTCTCCGGCCTTCTTCAGAATACCGGTTGAAGAAGTAGCCGGCGGAGAAGAGGCGGTTTTTTTATCTGATACAAGAGTTCCAACCCCTTGTTGTTTTGTGTCAGTACTAGATGGCTTAGAAAAACTCAATTTCTGCCCAAAAAGTTCAGCAGAGAGGGCATCAAAGGAACTGAAAATTGACATCATCATCGTTGGCGATTCACTTGCAAATTACTAACAAATAACAAGAAAATAAAGAAAGTATTGACTTGTTGATGTAAGCAGTGAGTGAGTTTATGTTAAAATTAAAAATTTGAGTACGAAGAAAAGAAGTTGCAGAAGCAGAAGTATATATAGGGGAAGCGTATTAAAGAAAGATCTGGAAAGTAAAAGTAGTTGAAACGAAATTTCCAATACTGTTTCTCTAATTCGTTGAACTGGGTCAGCGAACGAACTTGGAAAACTAACGCGTGTCAATTGGGTCTACTTTTCATTTTTTCAAAGTATATCTTCTGGATTTAACTGGAAATTACCTAATTCCAATAACAAACACTTCTTCTGTTCCAATTTACGCGCCACTATCACAATTTTGAGAACTAATTTAAATTAATTTTACGTAATTTTGAAATATATAAATATTATTTAAAACTTGTATATTCAAATTCACATGATAATTTAAAAGTTTTTGAGTCTCAAAATTTAGGTGAAAAAGGGGACAGGGGGAGAATTTTTTTTAGTAGGAAATTAGGAAGTTTTGATCAAAATAAGCTATTTTAAAAATCAATTCACCAAACTAATACGCTTTTTAAATTTTTTACAAAAGTAGTATAAACGTACTTCATGGTAAGGTTTTAGGTTATTTTTATTTTAAAAATTCAACGGACAAAAACTGACAACGTTAAATGAATAAACGTTACTGTGAGTAACGTTTTATACCTAAAACGTTACTCACAATAACGTTTATTGAGAATCCAATCACGTCAACCCTGCAATTGCATAATCAAATCCTGCAAATTTAAAACATTACTATTTTACTAAGAATCCAATCACGGGTCTTCGACTCCTGCAAATTTAGAATAAATCCTGCAAATTTAGCTATAAAACGTTACTCATAGTAACGTTTTACCTCAAAAACGTTACTGTCAGTTACAACACTCTGTTAAAGTCATATTCCTCCATTTTTTAAACTGACCACATGTGATTATAAAATAAATATTGTTGTAAGGAATGTTTTGCATATTCCAACAATATTCAACAAAACTTTTACTTGTGTTGCCCATTGTTAAAATAATATTCACAAAACTTCATCAGGTATGAATTAAATAAGTCAAGTTTATCATAATATTAAGAGATTTTTTTAAATAATATTAATAAATTAGAAAAATAATTTTAAAGCTATAGTAAGAACTTAACATAATATGAGTAACATTTTATAGCTAAATTTGCAGGATTTATTCTAAATTTGCAGGAGTTGAAGACCCGTGATTCTTAGTAAAATAGTAACGTTTTACACCTAAAATGTTACTGTGAGTAACGTTTTACACTTAAAACGTTACTGTGAGTAATGTTTTAAATTTCTGGGTTGACGTGATTGGATTCTCAATAAACGTTATTGTGAGTAACGTTTATTCATTTAACGTCGTCAGCTCCGTCAATTTTTGTCCGTTGAATTTTTAAAATAAAAATAACCTAAAACGTTACCATGAAGTACGTTTATACTACTTTTGTAAAAAATTTAAAAAGCGTATTAGTTTGGTGAATTGGTTTTTAAAATAGCTTATTTTGGTCAATGCTTCAGGAAATTAGTGTAAAAATAAATGAAGGGTTGAACGTGTCATGTTTGATGTGGTATGAGACATGAATACGTGTGCTTTTACCCCTTTTTTTGGAACAAGGCCAGTGTGGATAAGCTTAAGGACTAATTCTATATTGGTGGGAGTTGGGACTGACGTGATCAATGAAGTTGAGTTTGAAACCTGTTCAACTTGTATACGGGATTTTAAAAAAAAACTATTTCAAAAATAATTGATGCCAAAAAATAATATATTTTTAAATATAGTGTTCAATTTTTAAGATATGTTTATTTAAATTATACTATATTAGTTTGTTTACTTCTTGTTTAAAACTTCATTTTTTGTTAAAATGACACATGGACTTTTATGGGTTCTTCTAGTCAAACTTATTGAATTGAAACAGCCATGATTGACTTAAAAGGAGTTTTGAGTCAATATCTTGACGTTGCTGTGTGTTAGCAAGTAGTGAATGAAGGAATCTTCTTCGACCATGATTATTCAATATCTAGACGTAAGAATTGTTTGACAAGGGGTATAAAAATTGTACTACTGAAAAAGGAATAGTAATAATATTGGAATTAGTTATGTTCAAATTATTTTTTTATACATTATTTGATTTGATATATTAAAAATAACAAGCATTACGTTATTTTCTAAAAGTAGATATTTGTTTCAAAGAAAAAAAACCTCCACATTCTTCTTTAGTTCTATACACTTTCGAGGCAATCATGTTTTGAAAAATTGCACCAAATAATGGATTAATAATACTAAAACTAATACATGCGTTATTTTCTCTAATATCTTCCGTGAAATACCTCCTAATTAATACAGAAATAATATAATTAATGTATATGTTACTTAAAAACCTGGATATAATGTAACGTACGGGTAATTGATAATACCCCAAGAGTGCATATAAGGCAAGCAATCATGAAAGTGAATATACGAAAGTGATATATTTTTAGATGAGCTAAGGTTAGTCATCTGATTCCATACATGGATATTATTCCAAATGGTATGTAGCTCTCATCTGGTGTTACATACTACCAATAAATCCTATGATGAATAGCAATATATACACGTACTAATACCTGCTAATCTGCTTCCTCTCACTAGCACATGTAACATAATGGAAAGAATCACCTAGTATTTTTATCGCTATTGAGATTTCAATCCTGACCTTCCATTGTTCTCATAAAAATATTGGACATAAGTTGTAGGTTTTGTGTAACAAAACAATTGTGCCTAGTGTACCAAACCCCTATCAACATATATAACTCACAAAATCAACTGCTTAGTAGAGAGCTTACCATAAAAGATGTATGTAGTAATGTTGTATTCATATTACAGAACAATGAGAGAACAAAAACCCCAAAGCACAGAGTAATATTTAGAGATCAAATTTAGTGTCTTAACATATTCCATCATGAATAACTTTTGGTAAGAATTATAGCAACACAATAATGAGCAATTAGCAAATTAACCTGGTAAGGAAATTAAAACACCTAAAGCCAAATATGTTGCATATTAAAAGAGAAACTCCTAATCAAACAAGCTCAATCCCAAATCCTCGTCACTGTCCTCCTTCATCTCCTCCTGCAACCACACAATCAAACAAACACGTCATAAATTGGGACAGAGAGAATAATAAAAACTACTTAATATATAAATACGCACTAGTAACATTTATGACAAATTTGTTACCTTTTTCTCCTCAGCAGCGGGAGCAGCAGCACCACCACCACCACCTCCACCAACGGGGGCAGCAGCAACAGCCACTGCTGGACCGCCACCTGTCCCAACAGTCAAAATAAGATCTTCAATGTCCCTCTTCTCAAATAGCTTGGCGAAAAGACTAGGCCAATAAGACTCCACTGAAATATTAGCTGCTTTCACCACCGTAGCAATCTTCTCTGCCTGAAATCCCAAATACAATTATGTTAATTAAAAGATTATGATAAAAGAATAATTAATTAGCGGGTAATGAAAGATGATTATTACCGTAATAGGAATTCCATCATCGAAGAGAAGTAACGCAGCATAGGTACAACCAAGTTCCCCAACTGACATTTTTGCACAAAATTGATGAAGTTGTAAAGAATAATAAGAAAGATTAGAAAAAAAAAAATCACTTTTGATTATAGAAAATAAGTTGGTATTTAGAGGACCGTAAAACTAATAGATACGAAATATTAGGGTGGAGGAGTACGTTACGGACTTCAGGTACTACGGGTCTAACGGCTTTACACACGAATAGCTACATTTTAAACCTTTTTACTATCTTCCATATTTATTTATTTATTTTGGTACTTATAAACCAACTTGTGAAAGTGTCAAAATTAGTTAGTTAGATTATATTTGTAGCGTCCTTAGTTGAGAATATCAAGTGCTGATCATTTGTAAACTTTAGATCAAGCAAATGCGATATAACTATTTTGCACATATTAGTAAAGCATATGCAATTCACAAAATGCAATCAATTAGTAGAATTAACGTATAAAACATTATTTGTGGTAATGATTTACTTACTATTTTGATGAACTGATTTATATAGTAGCTTTACTATTTTGGTGAAATGGTTAAATATTAGCTTAACTCAGTCAAAAATACTAACTTTGGATGAATTCAAGTTTCAAAGATTTTTTACGAAATTGCGTCTTAAGCTGATTACGGTTCATAAAATTTGAAACATGAAGTTCCGTCGAAAAAACCCTAGCTTTGTTGGAAGTTTGGCTGAGCAGTAAAAACTTTTGTTGGAGAAGATATTTTTGTAAATAAATGATTTTATTCTAACAAGTATGCAATGGATATTCTTTTTCGTACAACAAACCAAACAATCAACAAGAAATAATCCAGAATTACTGGTTGCATAGCTTATCCCAGCATAACTTGTATTCAAACCAAACAACTCCTGTAGTTCTCTCTTTCCATTGAAAGCACACCCTTAATTGATGTATTAACTAGCTATCACTGAACCCTAACGCAGGAACTTTCCACGACAAAATTTCAGCAACAGTTGAGACATCACCATCAATGCTTGCTTTAGGGTATACAATCTACATGACACCAGCAGTCTCTCGCATCCCTTCTAACGCAGAGTACTTTGTGCACCGAGTTACATTTTTTGTAGCTAAGACTGATCACAAGAGAATATATTTACGTTTTGGCGAGGTATTTTGACTGGGAATATCAAATGCTTAAACAAATACCAAGTGTGAGAAGAGCCGATCAGATACAGCATCACATCGACAACAAATGAAATCAACTGTCTCAACACGCTAATGTTTAATATAAGTCGGAACTAAGTTAAGCAGAAAAACCACTGGTGCAAAAGTCTACATGTTTGATTGGCCAATGACTAATGACAGCCGAGAGAACAGAGATACTTGCAGCTCTCACAGATAAAACAACACATTACTAGGACAGACCTCCAAAAGTTCCAGTCTTTAATACAGCTCTAGTCCATAGCAGACTCCTATCAAACTAAGAACATAGAGTTTCAGATTCTCCTTTCAAGAGGAGATCACCACTAAACAAATCTAGCGGCAGCATTAGCCACTGTTTGATCATGCCTGGAAAAAGACCATAAATGCAAACATTAGAAAAGTTCAATATGAAGCATCCAAAATTCTGATCAGGACCATTTGCAACAAGACTAACAAAAACACAAGTGATCATCCAGAGGCAAATCAAACATTAATTAAATACAAAAAAAATAGCCTAACCTGCTGTGGTGATGCCGATCTGGACCTTGACGGTGACCTCGATCTCGATCTCGACCTCGACCTCGACCTTGACATTGATCTGGACAATGACCTGGACCTGGACGCAGATTATGAGCTCAAGTGTTAAAAAAGCGTTGAAGATAAATTGAAAATAGAAAACAAAAGGCAATATTAGTACCTACAAAAAAAATACAATTTTAAGTAATATGCAATGTCATATACCTGGTCGACTTAACAGGAGATGCAGATCTAGACTTTGGCGGTGGTGATCTCGAAACTGAACGGGCGGGTGATCTGAACAAACACTCAGTAAGACATCAAGAGAAAAAGGAATGTACATAAACGAGTTCATTTATTATCTGCAACTTGATCTACCTCCTACTCTTCCTTGGAGTTCTGCTCCTGCTCCTGCTTCTGCTCCGGCTACGACTTCTTGAAGGGCTGCCCTTGTATTCTCTTACCTATATATGAAGGGGACAGAAAATTGAAATGAGCATCAACGTAAAAATACACTGTAAATACGAAAATTCCTGCTACTACTAACTCAAGTACACATGTTCACTGAATAATTGTGTCGTAAATCCTAGATATCCAATACTCCCTCTGTTTCAATTTGTTTCTCTCGATTTGACTTGGCATGAAGTTTAAGAAAGTACAGAAAACTTCTGAATGATGTGCCCTTCAACTAAATATATGTATAATGTCCCAAAATGACCTTTAATCTGTGGCCTTAAACAAGCCACATGGGATGTTTAAATTAAAGAGTTAAGAATTAGAGAAGAGGCATTCTTTTTTAAACCGACTAAAAGGATAGTAAGACAGACAAATTGAACTAAGGGAGTATTAAAAACCATTGAATTAGGAAATCACCACCATACCCCGTGAATATGCTGAGAGATTAAGCATTGATTTAAAATTAAAGTCTTTCCAAGAGTTTGGGTTGAAGGAAGAAAACTAAAATAAAATGTAGTGCAAAGAAAAACAAGGATAAACAAATACCCGGATGTAGGTTCTTGTCCAAGGATTCCTGAACTCAGTATCATCAAGTTTTCTTATCTGAACGAAAAGAAAACATGTTAACCAAAAGCTTGGCCCTTCTCCAAAGGGACAAAATAAAATAAGAAACACCACCATCAAGGGAGTTGCAGATTAAACATTCATGAGTAATGAAACTAGCAAAACACAAGAATTACTTGCAGAGGATATTAATAAAAAAAACGACAAATAACCATCCTTCCAATGGTTAATGAACCAAGGAACTCAAAAGTTCAGGAAACTCAACCATACAATAGGGTAGAACTCCTCAAAAAAAAGAAGATAGCAATATTGAGTTTAAAACCCATTTAGATAATGAGGCAGATAAGAAACTTACAGCATATTTCATGTCTTCATAATTTGTGTAGTCCACCAAGCCAAAGGTTCCTGATATGGACAGGAAAATTTAGAACTACACACATAAACACAGTTAGCACAAGAACAGAATACAAATGTCCCCTAAAAACAATTTTCCTGAATATTCAAATCTTACAAAAATAAAAATACAACATTTGCAGTTTCATTTTGCACTTCAGTTTTTCTCAAAGGTTAGCTCAAGGCACAATAAAGGCCAAAAGACAAGCGAATTGAAGCATGGTCTCTGCCTCGCCGTCTCAGCGCTTTGCTAAGAAGTGCCAAGGTGCTAAGATGTACACCTCATTACAGCTGTGCACTGTCTAAAGGAGGGAAAAACTAATAGTGTTGGCGAAGTGATATATTAATCATCAAAGAAACATTTTATGAATGAATAACATAGTAATTAGGAATAAGAAATTGGAAATTTAACATTAAGAGAACTCCGCACTAAATCTGAAGAACTTAGAGCTAATCATTTGCATTAGAAATTTACTATGGTCTTTTAAATGGTGAGATTCTTACTCTGTGTACTTAATTTATATTTTCCAATTCTTTTATTCACATAATCAATTCTGGTTTCTCTGTAGCACTTTGTTTCCTTAAATTGCAAGTGTAATTAATTGTCTTTCTTCCCTCCTTGATAAAAACCCCGCTAATTCTCGGGAAATTTTCTAATCTTAATTTCCTTGGAGATCAGAGTCGCATACATGCAGTTTTTTCACCATGATTCCAGTATTCTTGAGTATTGTTTAAAATTCACAAGTAAAAGGATCCTGTTAGTTATGTCTTCGAGATGTAAGACTTGGTCATACCTTCACTGTCACGAGAAACCTCAGCAAAGCACACATCCCCAGCTTTCCGCATATGATCCTGACATATTTTCCACCAGGTTACTGCAATTGCTATAGATACAAACCACCATTGGGAAATATCCTGCCCACTTCACTTACCTTCAAATCTTGCCAAGAAGCAGAAGATGGAAGACCTCGAATAATAACTGTATATAGATGACAAGAAAAGTCAAGAGACATCTATATGATCAGGGACAATTACATCGACGGCAATCAAGACAGGAAACTTCAAGAGACATTCAAGTAAGTTATAGTGGAACCTCGGAAATCAGAATGACGAGAAATGCCATGACGCCCTCCAGCTCCACCACCACCACTACTGCTGCCATAACTGCCTCGGCGATCACTTGAAGATGATGGCCCTCTTCCTCCATGAGCAAGCTCAACCTATATCATGCATCTAAAGTGTCAACCACGTGGAAGCTCATATTTCCTACATAGATCTGTGTATCTATGAATATGAGAGAATCAAGATGGAAATTGTTCTTACCCTCAGCCTACAGCCATCAAAGTTGTAGCCATCTCTACCCCTGATGGCATCTTCAGCATCTCGAGAACTTTCAAACTAAAGAATTCGGAGAAGGGAAATGACAGATAATCAGCAGACAAAAGAAGCAATTGACAACCAGAAAGGGAAAAAAAAAAAAGCAACCGACAGCAGAAGGTCAAACTTCAAACTACAGAAAACTGTATACATGTAAATATGCTAAATAAACATACCTCCACGAAACAATAGCAAGGAGGACGAGGTGGGATCTTCAACTCAATGTCCAATATACGACCATACTGCAATACAGGAGAGAATTTATAAACAGTAAGCACTTTTTAAGCTTAGGATACAGTGCTTCTTTTACAACAAATCTTAGGATACAGTGTTGCTTTTACAAGGAATCTCAGGGTATAGTGTTCGCAAGAATGTATGCTAAACCAACTCTACATTTCAAGACAAGGCTGAATGCTTCCAAATCGATGCCTCCCAACTGTTTACTCTCAATCGGGTAAACAGAATACTGGTGGTATTGAGCACCACTGCCTATAGCTTATAGTAGCAAGTATGGAAGAAAGACTGAAACTAAAATAGGAAAAATAAAAGGAGGCAAGGAGGAGGATGCAGTGCAGGATACTAAAGAAGAAGCCTCTCTCACCATCAAACTTTGTTTTCAACCATAACTTAATGTTGATACTAGTACTGCAACAGATTCTCTTATGAGACTACACTTAGGCTTTCTTGTTCTAAAATTTTACAAATAAGAGTTAAATCAAAAAATTCCATCCATTATACGGATGGGGATGGCATTGTAATGAAATTCAGAAAACAAGCATACCTAGGAATGCATACATCTGCAATATAATCTCAAGTGATGCCGTTGTTTTTTGTTGTTTACAAGTATAACTTATGCATCGAAGGTTGAATCCAGAGCCCTATGAGCTAAGTACAATTGATAACTAACTTCTCCACAAGAAAATAAGCCTTTGCAGCTAAGAGTGTTTAAATAAGTGAATGTGACAGACCTTGTAGAATAGATCTTCAACTTCCAGTTCCTTTATATCTGCTGGTAGGTTGCCAACGTAGATTGAGCGTGAAAAGCGGCCACTCATTCTCAGCAATGAAGGGAGAATTCACAGATAACTGCAAGCAGATGTAACTTATAAACAATTTTCAAGATTCCAGTTAACATTGAAGAGAAATAATTAAACAATATAATGGATAAATTTATATCATTCTGTATTTGACTTGACAATAACAGAATCGAGCAGAAAAAATCTGAAGCAAACCAAGAGAGCAATCCTTCAATTGAGCTGTGCTCCACAAGCTCCATTGCTCAAAATGCTCCATGATGCTCCAAAATTATAGATTCAAACAGAAAAATTATGAAACCAAGAGAACAATCCCAAGTTAAGCTAATGATCCAGAAGCTCCATCGCTCATATGTTCCAAGATGCTCCAAAGCAAAAATTATTTGAACTAATATTTGATCTCCTCATCCACTCAAAATTTTTGCAGATGATAGCTCTTCTGAGAGTGAGAAAGAACCTCCAACTACACATAAAACCCAAATACTCCACCCTGACTTGTCCCACTCCCCCAAATACATCCCTATGTATGATTCCAAAGCTCATTTACGTTCCAAGCGCTTGAAATCTATAATAAAGAAAGCATTTATGTCATAAGATGAGGTGAGATCGCGACATACTAATGCATTTTCCCTTTTCTTAATTATTTTTAAGATCACTAAGAAATCATCCTACAAGGCATGCAATATATACCTTTCCTGTTTAAGTTAACATAAAACCAGTTTAGCGCAACTGATGTCATTTCCCTGAACCTAAGATAAGATAAGATTTTTTTTTGAGAAAGTTAACTGGTATTATAAACATAGAAGTACACCAATAGTGAACTCCTGTAGTAATTACATCAAAAGTATAGAGGGTTTACCAAAAAGAATCTAAACACCTATCTCCCTAGTAAACTATCTAAGAATAGGGTGATGTCCCCCGGATCCTTGGGAATAGAATGGATACACCAAAAGTAAAAGGTCACTAAACAATTCATTTTAATGATTTGGAAAGGGATGCTCTTGTTCTCAAAACATCTCTGATTTCTCTCACTCCATATTGTCCACCAGATGCAGGCAAGGACAATCTTCCATCTCTCCTTGTGTCCTGACTGATTTCCATCTCTATTCCAACATGCTAGGACTACTGCAATATTTCTAGGCATGGTCCATGTTATACCTCTCAGGTTAATGAAATACTTCCATAGTTTCTCAGTCACTTTACAATGCAAAAAAAGATGTTCTCAAAAAAAAAGATTTCAAGTCACCAATGGTCAGTAAAACATTGTTTGAACTTTGAACTGTGGAGACTACAAAGATGAGAATTGGATATGATGCAACATATTTTCAGCGAAAAAAGGATTTACTTTGGCAGATTGTTGTCTAAAATGTTTTTCAATATCTGGTTGGATTAAAAACAGGATCATATGGCAACCATCAAATGCGCTAGGATTGAGTTTATAGGTCCTGAATTTTAGAAAAGGCATCTTCAAATAGGGTTCTAGATAAATTATTTATTTATTTTGAGAATAAAGAGAATGGGTTCGGGATAAATTTATGTTATTTTTGATGACCATGGTGTCCTGGCCAGCTTTCTTGCACCTCGACTAATTACACGGGATACCTGCCATCTCCCACCAGCAACGAGTACCAGGTACCAGTAACTCTGTCCACCCAGGCTAGTTAAGTGAAAAAATTAATATAAAATACATGATTTGGGCCAAAGCTACCAAACCCGTCAACTGTAATGTGGCTCCATCCCAGCAATCATAAAAGATGGAGGATGGTATTTTGGTGAGATCTTTGAATATTAAAGTTGACAATGACCCTTATGTATTGGATGAAGCAACTGATTTAGAGTGAGATTCAGAATATTCGTAATGGAAAATGACTTAAGTTGTTTTCACCCTTTTGGTGGTGAATTATCAACCATTGAGGAAATAAACATTGGAGAACGATTCAATGAGTAAAAAACCATTCAATAAAATATTCTCTGTCATACCAAGCAAACCCATCAAGTATTTTTCTTATTACACGATTAGAATTTCATCTTTCAATTCCAATATTCCTATTATTTCCTGCCAAGCAAGTCCGACATGATGATTGCAGCTCTCTGAAGGGAAAAACGCTATTGTAGTAAGAATTTCACTAATAAAAAAACTATCACACTGTTATGTAACACAAGAAACATCACAAGAGATATGACCCATAAAAGTTCGAGCTTTTCTAGCAAAAGCCGATGAACAATGAGAAGTAACACCCAGGCTAAAACAAACCCTGGGATTACGAAATGAACCCATTCTGCCATAAACAGAAAACGATCAATTCGCAACACAGAACATCCGGAAAATACAGAAATAGCTAAATTCGGTAAGATTTTTACAGATTCGTAACTAGGGTTTCTTCCACCCTCGACCCTTCTCAGGGATTAACAAATGTGTCCTTATCTTAGAACAGAGCTGTGAGAAAAAAATCTACTAAATATTACCTGGAATTTCAATTTGGGCTCGGCGGAATTCTGATGAAATTGGTGATCAATTTCTTCTCCAGTTCTTGTCGGGTTCTCTCTCCTGGTGCTGTGCTGCACTTCTTCCAGAGAGTTCTTAATTCTAGGGCTTTTTTTTCTGGATATAAATGCCAACGGTGTAGGATCTGCTCCATTGATTTTCACTTTTAACCCCTCAGCTTTGATTTAATTACACATGTTCCCTTTTGGAATCTCAATTTCCCCGGAGTGTTTCGCAGGGTGTGCAAAAATCAAATCGATCGATAAATCGAAACTGAAAATAATATTATTTATTAATTTTTATTGGATTATTGGGTTAACAATTTTCTAATGGTTTAATAAAAAAATCTATTGATATATCGATTCAATTTTGATTTTTGAATATTGAGTTATTGGATAAATTGATAACACATTAAGACTGTAGTAATTTACAAAGTACATAAATGTTAAATATTAATCTCAATGCATCACTAGTTAGTAGTTACTATCTTTGCATTTTAGCCTTCAATTTACACTTCACAATGATTTTTGAATTCACAACTTCACATTATACAAAACGTCAAAATCTAAAGTAAGAATTTTTTTCCTCTTAATTTCTCTTTGTGCTACACTTGTATAATCTTTTCATGTTAGTTATTACTGTTTATATTTTATGAGCATGTCACGACCCGAGCCTACACCCCGGACGTGACACGGCGTACAAGACTCTGAAAAGCCTCATCGCATTCATAACATATGACATATGAAAAATGGCACGGAATTTAAAACTTTTAATCCATACAATCGAAAACTTTACTTAAAAACAAACAACGGAAGTCTAACTTGTCTCACATGGCCATCTAATACAACTTGAATCAAAGATAGGGTCACAGACCTTAAATATAGTCTGAAACGTAAAATGACATAAGAAACTACTAAAGACTCTTATATGTCCTCGAATCTTGAAGACTCACCACTAGCTTAGAGAATAGTCAATCCAAGCTTTACTCCAAAGAAAATCACCTTAAGATCCGGAATCTACACTTTGTAGAAAAATAGAAGAAATATGGGTTAACACAAAAATGTACTAAATATGATAGTTATGCAAACATCATGCTTAAAAGGACATTTTGGTTGAAAATCATGCTTTATGTCAAGTTTGAGAATCATCATGCATCTTTAGTATAAACATACAAGACATAAGCATATTCATCATGTAAGTCATTAGAACATAATAGAGTCATCATGAAAGTAACCTTAAGTTATACTTGTGCAATGTATGAATGGCATCCCATAATACCATTCATACTAAGTATCACTTTGAGGCCACCATAACATACTTACCATTCTTCAATCTCCTATTTAGTCAGTAATCATAGACAATGAACATTCACATTCAATAAGGCATGACAAGAAAAGCAACTCATAATAACATTTCTAAGTTAAGCATTCATCATTTCATTAAGCCTCTAAGTCAACATTCTCATTAGTTTCATTATAAGCACATTCATTTCATTAGACATTAAGACATTAGAGAACACACCATAGCCCTCGCAAAGCCTACTCGTGCAATGCATGAATGGCATCCTATACTACCACCCACACTTCATAGAACATCTTGAGTAACCATAGCACGTATCTCACATGATGGGAATAAGCATTAACCGACATAGACCATGTGAGCAAACCATGGAATCCGGTGTTTATCCTACACCGTAAATGATTGGTCTACTTGCCTAAGGTAGGACCTGTAACATTTTAGCTTAGGTGGATCTACTAGCTAATAACCTATGTGGGCACATAGTTTTGGGATAAAGAAGATGTTCATTAAAACTCGGCCTAACATGGGGAGAGTTTCCATCTTACCATATCCGCTCGGTGCTAAGCTTACATTCTCATAGAGTAGTTCATTCTCATTAACATTATTATACTTGAGAGGGCTACCACCATTAGGGCTACCGACCCAAAGTACATTACACACATGAAAGGCCACCACTATTAGGTCTACCGATTCAAGGTACATTATTAGGATAACTCATTGAATCCTCAAGAAAGGGTCACCACCTTTAGGTCTATCGAATCAATGTTCATCATTACATTAGTAGTTCATAGACTCATCATAAAGGGCTACCACCATTAGGTTTACCGGTTCAAGACATAACCTTAGAATACTTCATTAATCATTTATGAAAGGGCTACCACCATTAGGTCTACTAATTCAAGGTTCATTATTCATTACATGAAGGGGCTACCACCATTAGATCTACCGATTCAATGTTCATTATTCATAACAGGAAAGGGCTACCACCATTAGGTCTACCGATTCAATGTTCATTAAGTCAAGATACATTAGTTACACAAGAAGATGATACCCTAAGCCTACCAATTCAAGGTACATCAATCAATATTATTTTCATTTACACACAAAGAAGATTCTCAAAGCCTACCAATTCAAGATGTATCATTACATTGAAAAAACCTTTCACAATATACCATCATCATTCACAAATGTATAATTGAGAATAACATTTCAATAATAACACAATTGCATTCTAGACATGATCACATTACTTTCATTGAAATCACAAAGCATATACATAACATCATGATTACACATCAATCCTTCATAATTTGCCCTCCAAGACTATGAATCAATTTCAACCCAAACATTTAGATAAGGGGAATATCATGATTCAATAACTCAATCAATATAGACATACTCAATTAACATGCTTCCATAATCAATCAACCCACATCCTAAATTCACAATTTAATATTTTGGGGGAATTTCATCATAAAACAACATAAATTCCTCAATTCAATCATCATTCATCATAAATCAACCTTTGAAAACGTTTTGAAATTGAACTCATGACTTAGATTGAAACCCTAACTTTTGGAGGAATTTGGAAGCTTTGAAATCATGTTTTGAAGGGACTCTATGGGTGAAAGCTACCCATAGATGAAAACTACCATACCTTGACTGAAGATTCTCCACGAAATTGAAGAGAAAAGATGAACTTTTGAACTCCAAACCTTGACTTCTTCTTCTCCAATAGAGGATTCTAGAGAGAGAATTATTTGGAAAGGATATGGTTTCTATTTTGTGTTTTTGGGAATAATGAGTTGTAAAGGGGTGTTTAATAGTTTAAAAAACCTTAAATTAATCTAAATAATCAAAACAAACCGACCCCTAACTTAACTAACCACCCTAAGAATTTACCACATTGCCCCTTAATTAGCCGAGCCTAGGCAGATTCTCAGGTGTGATCCACACCCCTTGACCCACGGACCGTGGGTGCACTTACTCCCCGTCCTGCAGGTCCGTGGGTGGGGTCTGCAACTTGACATCTCATCCCTGGACTCACGAAACCTCCACATGAGGTGTGGATGGACCTACGGGGTAGGTAACACCCGTAGCCCACAACTTTTTGGCAACTTGGACAGTTTTGGGGAGATTTGGGAGTTGGCTTTAAGGTCTTGGTTGGTCCTTCGGGAGTCGTACCTTGACGTTTAACCCTTAAACCCTTCAACCTAAGCTCAGGAACTCATTTAACAACATAAAATCCCACATCAAACTCAACAACATACTCGTAAGGCTCTAGTTTCACCTACTAGTTTTTTCGAGGTGTTACAGAGCATTTGTAAAATTACATTATTGTCTTGTCGTGCCAAATTGTTAGAGAAGTCATATATTTGTTTCACAAGCATTTTTTATTGGTTAAATTAAAAAACTCAATTGTTAAGGATCAAAACTGATAAATCTAAAATCGGTATTGGTTTAGCATATTTAAAAATCGATAAAACCGAATTGATAATACATAAAATCGAATTGAATTGACCGATACACACACGTTATTTGGTAGGATGTATTATAATTGTTGACACCCAATTTTGACCCTCCACAATATAAATTAATCATTTCGAGCTTCTCCAATTTCAAACGATTTAAAATTATTAGTTTTATAAAATTTCTAAAAAAAAATAGAATAGTAATGAAAATAAATAAATAATAATAATAATATAGTTTGCAAGATTTTAAATAGTTTGTCACTTTTTATAAATCTTAGATGATATATATGTTTTACATAATTATGTATATAATTATTATATTTTATGAATATTCAAAAACCGTCTCAAAAAGAGTTTGTTTTATATTCAATTAAATTAATTTGGTTTAAAGTATAAGTTATTTATTTTATTAGTTTAATTATTCTTATTTTATATTATTTTGTCTTATTTAATTTTGTTGATTTGAAAAGCACATTTTATTTAAGTTACATTATTTTAGTTATGGCCATAGTTTTAAAATAATCAGTTTTATAAAAGTAATAAAATAAATATAGTTTGCAAGCTAGTTTAAATAGTTTTGTCACTTTTTTAAATAATATATATGTTTTATGTAATTATGTATGAAATAAGTGTATCCTATAAATATCCGAAAATCATCTCAAAAAAAAAAAAAAAAAAAAAAAAAAAAACATTTTATATTCTTTGGTGTATTTTAAAATGATGGCTAATTTTGAGTTAATTAGTTTTTGTTATAAATTCAAAATATTTTTTTGAGTTTCTTTATGTAAATTTTGTCAATATATATATATATATATATATATATATATATATATATATATATGTATGTATGTATGTGTATAATTAGTATATTTTATAAATATTTGAAAATCATCGCAAAAGATTTTATGTCTAGTTAAATATCTTATTAATTTACTTTAGTCTAAGTTATAGTTATAATTTCGAGTTAATTAATTTGTAATTAAATTAATTATTTTGTAATCAAATTAATTATTTTATGTCATTAAGATTAAGAAGCTCGTTAATTAATTTATGAAAATTTGTCTTGTTGCAAATTTTAGTCAATTGCTTATCCTATTCTTAACCATTTAAAAGACCAAAAAATGGGCCCATTCCCACGACCCAATTCCTTCTTATTTCCATTCCAAAATCAGCCCATTTCCCTTTTTATTCCTCAAACCCATTTCTCCACAATATTCCCAGCCCACCCATACATGCCACAATACAATAATACACTCCCAAACAGCCAAATACATACATAACAATACAAAAAGACCTTCCAGCCGCCTCAACCCACTCCAAAACAGTACCC